AGTGAGGAAGCGTGTGGCTAACTCGCTCCACGAGTCGATGAACTCATCCAGCAGGTCGTTGAACCAGTCATATGTCTCCCCCTCTAAAGTAGAGGGAAACATTCTGCGGATGTATTCATCGCTAGCGCCCAACATATACATGTCAGACTGGTAGCGGGAATAGTGCTCCTGGAAGGTTAGATTTACGCCCATAGAGTTGAATGTTGGGTCTCTTATACTTCGGGGGTATATATATGGTCCTGCATAATCCTGGTGGTGAAGGGGGTTGCAGTTCTTACCCTCACCGTAACAAGCTCATTGTTGACATGAGCCTGCAATTGCTGACCATGGAGTGCGAGCGCCTCCAGCTGGGCGTCATGTGTCGATGGATGGGGAGGTGGCGGCGGCGTTGCTGTGACTGCTGCAGCCCGCAAGTCATCCACCTGCTATGTAAGGAGGCGGGTATGTTCCTCCCTGGGATCCACCTGGCGCTGGCGCCGTGGTGGAGAATGTACCTGCCGCCTCAGCGGTGAGAGCCTTGGTTGGCGCAGGGGTTATTGTTGTTGGCGCAGTGGAGAGATCCGTTGTTGCCTTGGGGGAGAAGGCAATTGCTGGTGGTGTGGGTGGCAAATCTAGGGAAGTGATTGTAATACCTAAGATTAATTTAAGAGGATTAATAGTACTACTCATACCAACAGAGGTGCATCTCCTTTTAAGGGAGCTCATCATCCAAGAACTCCAAAGTTAAGCGTGCTTGCACGGGAGCATTCTTGGGATGGGTGACCCCAGGGAAGTTTCTTAGGGCGCGCACAAGTGAGGACAAAGTGCGTGGTAAAGGCTCGTGGTGGTTTATGAGGGCGGTACTAAAGGTCAGAAGTAACTACCTCGGGCCCTGCGGGGCCGAGGTGTTACAAATGGTATCAGAGCAACCCTGTGACGGTGTGCTGACCCGTTGGATATCGGGCGGGCACTTAGCGGGGCAAGATTCTGGGGTTTGATTGAGATAGTTAAAGGCGCAACGAGGACAGTTCGATCCTAAGTGGGGGTGATTGTAATACCCAAGATTAATTTAAGAGGATTAATAGTACTACTCATACCAACAGAGGTGCATCTCCTTTTAAGGGAGCTCATCATCCAAGAACTCCAAAGTTAAGCGTGCTTGCACGGGAGTAGTCTTGGGATGGGTGACCCCCTGGGAAGTTTCTTAGGGCGCGCACGCGTGAGGACAAAGTGCGCGGTAAAGGCTCGTGGTGGTTTGTGAGGGTAGTACTAAAGGTCAGAAGTAACTACCTCGGGCCCTGCGGGGCTGGGGTGTTACAAATGGTATCAGAGCAACCTTGTGACAGTGTGCTGACCCGTTGGATATCGGGCGGGCACTTAGCGGGGCACAATTCTGGGGTTTGATTGAGATAGTTAAGGGCGCACTGAGGACGTTGCGATCCTAAGTGGGGGTGATTGTAATACCCACGATTCATTTAAGAGGATTAATAGTACTACTCATACCAACAGAGGTGCATCTCCTTTTAAGGGAGCTGATCATCCAAGAACTCCAAAGTTAAGCGTGATTGCACGGGAGTAGTCTTGGGATGGGTGACCCCCTGAGAAGTTTCTTAGGGCGCGCACGAGTGAGGACAAAGTGTGCGGTAAAGGCTCGTGGTGGTTTGTGAGGGCAGTACTAAAGATCAGAAGTAACTACCTCGGACCCTGCGGGGCCGGGGTGTTACAGTGATTGCCCCCTAGCCTCTCCAAAGCGGGCACGCGCTCTGGAGTCCCCCTTCCTTGTTGCGGTTGTTGCTGGGGGATGCTCAGAACTTGGGAGTTCGCCCGGTTGATCCCCCGGATATTCACAGACAGGCGTTGGTTCGCCACGGATCTGTTTCCCAACATGGAGAAGATGAGACACTTTCCCACTTCAACCCAGGGGTTAGGGTTATCCTCGTGTTGTTGCCCCTGTGGGGAGAAGGACTGTGAGGAGTCCTCAGTCGTGACGGCGTAAACGCCATCATCGTTGTGGCAGCCGTAGTTGACATGGCATGTCGTGTACCTCGGTAGTAGCGTGGGGGGGTGGCGGTGGTGCCACCATCTGTTGTGTCGCAGCGGGACGGGAAGTTCCCGCCAACTGTGCTAGAGGCATATCACTCACAGGGGCGCCGGAGGCAACCTGGCGTATCGGAGGAGAGTTAGTCCCAGGAGTGGCTCTCTGACGTGGGGGAGATTGGTAGACCATCTGTGTTGGTCTCTCCACCAACAGAGGGGCATCAATGGTGCCCACTCTCAAGGACCGGGATCTAGAATTTGCCAGTGAGATGGGCCTGTGGACTTCAGCAGCCACAGCTGTCGTCGCCTGGGATCGCAGTGTAGGGAGTACCTGCTGCAATCCAGAGATGAGGGCGCCAACCGCCGCTCAGGGAGCCGTCATCAGAAAATTCTGGAATTGTGGGATCACCTGAGCAGACGGCATTGCCGCTGCATCGCGACTCTGCGAGATCTGTTGGCGGAGGTCTGGGGAAGTACGCTGGATCTGGCTGCGCAGATCTGCAGAGGCCTGATCGGCTTGTTTCCCCTTGGCGGACCTCATGGTGCCGGAAGTAGCAGTGGCCTCCATTGAGGGTTCAGCCTGGGCGACGACGACAAAAACACGTCTGTTCCTCACAGTTCTTTTTCCTCCAGCCATCGTTAAGAGAACTTGTTGTGAAGTTTGTGAAAGTGGGAGGATCTGACTTGATTCACCGTTCAGCTCTCAATGAAAGCACCAAAATGATGGATCACCGAGCTAGGGGGTAGCCAGAATCCGAGTGAAGTAAGAGAGGAGCTGATCGGAAAGTTCAAGTAAATATTTCAGCAGAGTAACAGTTAGAGAATACAGAAATCGATCCCTTTCCACAAGTAAAAGATATTTACTTGGTGACCGGAAGGTGATATTTATACTGAAAAGATAATTCTTGATTTCGTGGTGCCCAAGTAAAAAATATGTTGATCTAATAGAGAGAGGACACGTGTCCAATCTGTTCTAACAAACTAATAGTCTAAGTCGATAGGGTGCAGCCACGTGTAAAGGTGATTGGAGAGATAGTCTGGGACAGCTGGCTGATTGGAACTGCCCATAACAAACTACCACCCAAATATCCGTGTGGTTACACGTGTGTGATCAGGAACATTCTTTCTACCCACTACTAGGAGTGACGTGGCAGTCTTCTCATGTGATGATTGTTCCCACGTATTCGTCTAAGCCCATATTGCTTTAATCAGGCCTCGAGCTTACTGAGGTCACTACTTGGGTGCTCGGGAACCGCTCAAACACGGCAAGTTATGAGCCCGACCCCAACTATGACCCCGGGTGTCAACGTGAGGTCAACAGAGATCAAACGGGGGTCGGGGTCGGCTGATATTCGGCCCTTAGCTGTTTCGTTGTCTGGCACTTTGTCCCGCCCAACCCTTGAGGGTCGGGGTCAGTTCCAGTCGTAGACTTAGTATTTTTATGCACTCCGGGATGGATCCATGATGTGAATGTCGTCGATTATGATACCCCTGGAGTATGTGGGAATATACTCTATCATTGATATAAAAATAGATGGAAGAGATCAAATTTTAACTTAGAAATTTGGTGGTGTTTTGTTAACTATTGAGAACTTTTAATAAAAATATTGTCACAAAATCTTACTAGATATGCAAAATGTGTACATGTAGATCACAAAAACAAAAGTGCACAATAGAACATAATAAAATGTGCTTAAGCTTAAAAAATTGACAATCTTTTTTAACACTTACGAGTGCACTTTTATCACTTAATATCCACCTTCTACTATTTGACACCTTGTTTTGTGATTAAAGTTCATCTAATTCATCAATTTGCAAGTGATTAAATGTCAAGATGTGTTTTCAATTTTCATGGGAAGACTATTTTTTAATGAAACCTACCCCTATATATAAATACACACACACACACACACACACACACACACATATATATATATATATATATATATATATATATATATATATATATATATCATAATTTGGAACCCACATTATCGAGTCTCAAATGATGCGTGAAACTAATGCATGTGAGAAGTTTCTTATTCCTGGGATGAGTCTTAACCAGTCAAATATTAGGTTATTTTTCTCATTTATGCGTGGACAAGTGTAAAAGGATATTGGCAGATATCAAGCGTGTTTTCATGTGTCATCATATTTTTACGCATGAAGAGTTGTATGTTGCAGTTTCGGAGGTAACAAGCATGTGTGTATTAAAATGTGTGATATGCAACGATAAGGGATACCCGAAAAAATAAAAAAAAATAAAAAGCCTCTACCAGCAGGTCTTTAACAATATATAATGTTGTACTTATTAATGAGTGTGTGTTTTCACATGTATTTTAGTTCAATATACATGCACATAGATGTACTTTTTTATTTACAATTACTCCGTATAATATTATTATTTATAATGTTGTACGTAGTACTTTTTTATTTACACTGTCCGTATGAAGAAGAGTTTACTTAAATATCGTCTGAACGCTTGTTGACGGTTTCATTTGAACTCCGAGTTCTGTGTGTGATCGGTGATCCCATTCCTCTCTCTTCTTCTCCGATCGTCACACAGCGGTGGTTATGGCTTCTCCAGCTAATGCATCTGAAGCCAAGCCTTACAAGTTCCTGATCTATGGACGCACCGGCTGGATTGGCGGTCTGCTCGGCAAGCTCTGCGAGGCTCAGGGGATCGAGTACGTGTACGGGTCTGGGCGGTTGGAGAACAGGGCATCCTTGGAGTCCGATATCGCCTCTGTTAAACCCACCCACGTCTTCAACGCCGCCGGCGTCACCGGCCGCCCCAACGTTGACTGGTGCGAGTCCCACAAGGTTGAAACCATTCGGACCAATGTTGTCGGCACGCTGACGCTCGCCGACATCTGCAGGGAGAAGAGCCTGGTCCTCATCAATTATGCAACGGGGTGCATTTTCGAGTATGATTCAACCCACCCGCTCGGATCCGGCATCGGGTTCAAGGAGGAGGACACTCCTAATTTCATCGGATCATTCTATTCCAAAACCAAGGCTATGGTTCGTTTCTTATTTCTGTGCTCATTCAGTATCTGTGGGACAACTTTTGTTATGCTCCATTTGCGTTCTGTGTATACTGAGCTATTGAATCTCATGATCTGCTATGTAGAGTCATTGAATAGATCTTGACTTCAGTTTTTACTGTGATCTGAGGCACGACTGTAGTGTTCAATCTGCATATTGGCTGTAAGTTTTGATGCATAATAGTAAAATGGCACATGATCTTATCAGTTCCTCTAATAGACTAGTATAGGCTTACACAAGCTCACATTAATTACTTGTTTATATGTGAATGCGTGCAATAGAAAGCTGCTAGATATTATAGGACATTAGGAATCAGAAGCACAATTCTTATAGGCATGATAAAGCTTATTAAGCAAGGCCATGCCATGTTTCTTCTTCATTTACCTACTCTTTATTACTACTAGTATACATGTATGGTTAAGCTCCAGTCGCTGCTATGCATGATAATCTATTAATTTGAGGATATGCTCCTTAGAGTAATTGATTGTATCTTGAATGCTTTTGGAATGTGAATTAATAAGTACTTATAGCGTTCAGTCTGAGTGTCTCCATAAATGCTAATGAATTAAATCAACAATTTTATATTTATATCTGGTCTTATATAACTGAGTTAAAGTGGCTCTGTTTAACTTGTATTTAGTTTGCTATCTGACCATTTCGTTGATTTTTTTTTTATGCGGGAAATCTGTTATTAGTTCCTTTATATAGAAACTGAGTGACAGATTTACTTAGGCATTGCCTGAGCTTCTTTGTACATGGTTACTCTGATATCCCATCCTTTAGGGACTGTGTTGTTTCTGCTTGAAACAGAAAGTAATTGAAACAAAAAGTATATCCTTGCATGCACGTGGATTAATCACACTTGCCATTATGAATGTTTAATTTTTTAGGTGGAGGATCTGCTGAAGAACTATGAGAATGTGTGCACATTACGAGTCAGAATGCCCATCTCATCTGATTTATCCAACCCTCGTAACTTCATCACTAAGATCACTCGTTACGACAAAGTAGTTGACATTCCAAATTCCATGACAATACTAGATGAACTCCTCCCTATATCAATTGAGATGGCCAAGAGAAACCTCACTGGCATATGGAACTTCACAAACCCTGGAGTGGTCAGCCATAATGAGATTCTGGAGATGTATAGGGAATACATTGATCCAAACTTCACTTGGAAGAACTTCACCCTTGACGAGCAAGCAAAGGTCATTGTTGCTCCGCGAAGCAACAATGAGCTTGATGCTACCAAACTAAAGAAGGAATTTCCTGAGCTCTTGTCAATCAAGGAGTCCCTTATACAAAATGTGTTCAAGCCTAACCGTAAGACCCCTGTGGCTTGAACAATTTGTGGTTCGTGTTTTGTTTGGAGATTCTATATTTGCTTTATTTTCATGCCTGTGGACATTACAGGTTCTTTTTACCAAATGTAGCCTGTCATAGCTTTTTGTCTGTTTTGACTTTTGAGTTTTTTATTTCTATTATTTCAGTATGAATAATTTGGGAATATCCCTTTCCGTGTATTACTTGTTCAAAAGAATTAGACTTTTGTTCAAACTTCTAGCTGCTTGTTTAATTTTTAGTTTCATTCTGCATGCTGTTTATATTCCTACTTTTCCCAGGTGAGTGCGCTTCTATATGGGGCCTTCATGGGGTTGGGCTGTTATTTTTTGTAGAAGGGGTATGTTGTAACTGAATGGTATGAGTTAGGGATGGACTCGGGCTGGGTCAACCGGACCGAAACCGGTTCGGCCCGGTACTGTTACGAACCGGCCCAACCCAAGGCCCGGGTCCGGGCCGGGTGCTTTATACCTGAACCGGGATTTTTCGGGGTGGGCTCCGGGTCGCAATAAAATGAACCGTCCGGGCCTGGTTCGGGCCAATTTTTTTTTTTGTTTTTCAAAATCTTTGGGAGCTAAATGGGTTGAGCTCAGTGTTTTGGATGGGTTTGGGGTGTGGGAGGGGGGGTGGGGGTAGGAAGTAATTAGAAAACCCAAAAAAATAAAATAAGGTACCCGGCCTGACCCTTCCCGACCCGGTAGCTACCCGGGCCAGTTCCGGGTCTCAACAAACCCAAAAAAAGCCCGGTCAGGCCCGGTTCGGACCGGCCCGACTCCATCCCTAGTATGAGTTATTGCTCAGAGTTGCGTTTCTTCTCATTATATATCAAGGCTGATAATCCTTGTATCAATAAATTAACAAAGTCCTTGCATTTGTCAATTGAAAATACAAAAGTTGGAAGAATCTGTCCTCGACCCTTAATGCCTCAATATACTGCTAAGAATATAGTCCTGTCGACTTTCAATGTCTAAAGTCTAGATGTCTATTTAATGACTTTGAATTATCAACAACATTTTTTGTTCACCCTAAAAAAAGGATGACAAGTCCTAGAACTGACAGCACAGTTATTTGAGAGGAGGTAAATTGAGCTTTGTTCACAAACTAGTTATTTGAGAGGAGGTAAATTGAGCTTTGTTCACAAACTGATGTTTGATCACTTGGTATTACAAATGGTTTCTTTGTTTCCAAATGCCAAAAGATTATAAAAGCAGATGTTTGGGGAGGGTGGGAGTCAGCCTCGCAACTGGCTGATCCAATACCAAAATTTGACTGTATCAACCTTGATCTGAATTCTCCGATGGTGAGATATGATTCTTGTGAATTAAAATTGAAATAGTTGTTGCATTTAACACTATGAAATAGGCCATACTAAAAAAAAGAGCAAGCTATTAGTGTGCATTTTCGTTATTTGACTTGTGCTATATCATTCCATTGATAATTTTCTATTCCTTACTTGCTTAATGTTTGCATGATAATTAGTTGCTATTTACTACGTGTGTTGTCAATGAGTCATTATAGTTGAACTATAAACTCAATACAAGGCAATTTATACCGTGCAACCGGCACACCATGAGGATGGTGCGCCTGGTTGCAAAACGACGCAGCAGTGGACTGCAGTGGCTTGATTCCATTATTTTTTTTTATTTTTTTTTGTTCAAAATTGTAATAACTTTTTTATTTGATATCCGATTTTTATAAATTGTATATCAATTTTTTTTATTTTTCATGATCTATCAAATGAGATCGATATTACTTATGTAATTTTAACAAATTATGGAACTATTATATAAATGATTATTGGATTATATGGAAAATAGAACTAAATTTAATACAGAAAAATAATTGTGTAAATCACAATTTATCTTAAAATTGTGTATATAAAAAATTTATTATATTAGGTATTTATACATGTGAGTTACATATTTTTATATGTGAAGTTACATATTTTTACACGTAAAGTTACATATTTCTACACGTGAGTTACATATATATACACATGAGTTGACTTAAAAATGTTAATAATCTATATATAGGTTATTTTTTATATAGGTGATTATTCTAGTGACATGGCAGATTATTTAGGGGAGCATTGTTGAGTGAGAAAGATTATTAGACATGATTAATTGATAGAATAATCTGAGATCAAAATCTGAAACCGGATTATTTTGAAACTATTTATGAAATTAGAGTTAATTAGTTAATGCAGGACCCACAAAATATGAGATTATTTCGGGATGATGGTTGAAGATAATTCAGAGGGGATGAGATTATTTCTAAAACAATTAGGTGACAAATATTAAAAGGTAAGAATAACAAAAAATCAGTTTACCTTAGAAACATGAATGTGAGTACTCTAATTCATATGAACACTAATTAGATTCATGAGAGTTTAATTTCATTATCATTGCAAAACACTTGGTTATTGACTCTTCTGAGTATCGGCCACTCAAATAGTCATTGAAGTAGCATGCACGCTAAGTCACTCCGTATATTTAGACCGGTAACACTGTTTTTCGACTTATCGGGCTTATCAACCAACTTTTTAATCAAATACGTAAATTTTGATTTCGCACACTTGTGTAATAATAAGAAAACGCAAGGTTGAAGTTACTTTTCTGATTGTATTGGCTGAATTTACTCTAGAAGATCATTTTGGTGATTTTTTCATATAATATTTTCTTTATTTACTTAATAAAATGTATTTAATATTTTTCATAAATCAGTAGAATTGGTCAATCTAGCCACTTCAGCCAGAACTTCATAAATTTCAGCAGAATCGATCAATGCAACCCATTTGAGTATTACCAAATGGACTCTGATAGCCTTCCATAAATTCAATCAATGATAATATCTTTTCATATTGAATGTTGTGTGAATAACTGAATATGTGTCTGGTTAATATGTAATTATGTATGCAATAAATAATCAAATTTGTCATGGTAGTGTCGATTTAAATCTTGGGGTTTTGACCCTAATATTACTAATAAGTGGATAGTTGACAAAAAAGTGACCTTTTATTTAATTTTTCAAAAAAGTGACTGAAATACTAACAGAATGGCTACAGTAACGGTGCTACAGTAACGGTGCTACAGTGACAATGCAACAGTGAGAGTGCTGTAGTGAAGGTGCTACAGTAAAAAAATTACAGTGGCACAACGAAAACATTTTTATAGTGACTCCAGGTATTTACCGCCTGCCCACCGGCCACAGTGACGTCCCACCAGTTACACCGTCACCGGTGACACCATCATAGTGACATGAACACCACCGATGACACCATCACAGTGACATGCCGACTCCGGTTATAGTGACACGCACATCCTACCCCTGCTCCTCATCGCCCTAGCACCGTCGCTGACCACCACCTTGGACCACTGCCGCTGACCAACACCGTCAGCACCGCCCCACCCCAACTTAACTCCCTAGCCCCCTCACAGCCCTCCTCCCAGCCGCTTCCATCACCAACTCCCAATCCCCTCCCCTGCCCCGCCTCTCTCCGACCAGGTCCGACCACCATGGATTCCGGCGTGACCGCAATCCCCATCGGTCCCCTCCACCAGCCCCGTCCCAACCACCAGGCCCTAGCCCCACAACACCCGCCCCAGCCCTGCCCAGCAACAATGCACTCCAGCCCCTCAAGTCACATCCTACTTTCAAACCTCGCCCAAAACAACTCCCTACCCCTATCCCACCTGAGTCATCCAGCTACCAACACATATCTGGAAAATATAAGAAGGAAACCCCCCCAGATCTGAAAGGGGAAGAACAATAAAGGAAGATCGGAGAGGAAAGTCCCTATGTAGAGGTTCGTCGACCTTCTTCAGAGGCGGACCAGTGGAGATGCAGCAAATAGGCACGTCGAAGCTCAGAGAGGCGGACCGGCGGAGAGAAGTCGCCATGGCCGTGCGAAGAGAAATATCGGTGTGGCACCGTGGCCGGTGGCTGATGGCAGTAGAGAGGAAGCTACGCCGGTCGTGCAGGGAGAGAGCTGCCATGGTTGTAGGGAGAGAGAAGGTCAAGGCCGTGTAGAGAAGAGAGGTGTGCGACCCTGCGTGCGAAATAAACTCCGTAGAAGCTATGTTAAGTCATGGGTTAGTTTTATGGGAAAAAATAAAGTGATAATATTTTTGGAATTAGAAACTTGGGAAGTAATATTAGTGCCATTAAAATAAAGTGATAATATTTGAATTATTCCTTTTTTGTGAATGGCAATTCACAATTTATCAATTCATGTTTTCTTTACATATTACATTATTTAAATCAAATTCATGTTTTATCAAATTTGTCATGGTAGTAATTGCATATGAATGATGGACTTACACTTAAAGTATGTTTGGGGAATTGGGGAGACTTTAAAAGGAAAAAAAGGATGACACCCCATCCCTGAGTGCCGGCCCCTCAACCCCGACCGGACGGTACGTTGGGAGGATGTAATTTGGACTATAATCTCAATCTGACAGGTAGAGAGTGGGGCTCTGTCCCCGATACTTGCAGAGGTCCTATTCATTTTTAGCATAGTAACCCCTCATCGCAGTTGTCGGGATTCGAACTCGGGACCTAACCCTTGTGGCACTCCCTTGCTACCAGTTGAGCTACGCCCACCAGTAAGGAGACTTTAAAAGGGACTAGAGAGAAGGGGAGGAGATGAAGATGGGAAGATGTTCCTTCTTGTTTTGGAATTACAAAACTTGGAGTCTAGTTATGGAGAGATTATAATTAAAATTACACATATACCATGTTGTCATTGTATGAATTATAGAGGAAAACAGGATGGGCCGGATAAAAATACTCATCTATATAATTTTTTATTAAATTTTCATACAATTTTTACATGTAAAATCAAAGATCTTTACCAAAACTGGGGTGATGGAGTATATCCGCCGAGGCCGAGCTCGGCCCACCCGGGGTCGGTCCAAACATTCGACTCCCAGGTTATCGAGATAAGGTCGAAACTGCATCCGAGGTCGAGGTCGACCCTCGCTGAGGTCAGTGTCAATTCCTGCGTCCCAATCAGGTCTGGAGTCAACTGACGCTTCTGGAAAGTCAACGAAATGGGGAAAACGCCTTCACCAAACAAACATCGAACCGGGGTCGCCCCCTCCGTAATAAACACGGTAAACTCGAGCTCGATCTCATTTGCTGAGCTCAGGGCCTCGCCAATCAATCATGGACTTAGACATTTTAGCAATCAAGTACCACATAGAACTACAACCACGTCACCAGCACAAAGTTGTATGAAGCCCACATCACCCTGGCGGTTATCACACAAAATGTTCTGGATAGCACACATGTGGCATGCACTTGCGTTCTGGTACACAAAGGACAATTCTGTTACACACAGTACCAATTAGCCAGCTGTCCGGGATATCTCTTCAATCAACTTTAATTCACACGTGTCACCACACTATTAGATTAGTACATCTTCTTGGTAGCCAAGTTATGCACGTGTGTCTTCACCACAATAAAATAACATATTTTTTACTTGTTGGCCAAGTATTTTCTCCTTAGTATAAATATCACTTTCCAACATGTTGAAAGAGATCTAATCCAATTTTCTCTGTGCAAACTTGTTGTTACTCAACTTGAATTTCTACTCACTCTTACTTAACACTTTTCAGCCTATAATTTCCCGGATTTCGCCTACCCGAGGGTCAGAAATCCATTAATAAGTAAACTGAAATGAAAAACAAACATTAAAGAAGATAAATAATAATTTCAACCATAGTTCGAGAACACTATCTCAACATACGATAGTATTAACTTTCAAATTTTATTTTGAGAAATAAAGATTAAATATTTCAAGAACTTGCAAGCCAGTAACAAAAAAAAGTATCAAATACTTACTCCTTTTTCACGGGTACACAATAGTTTGTCCCATGAAGGAGTGTATGTTATATGCTGAAGAGTGAACTTTTTCATCAAAGGATGACATAAAATGGTTTGTATAAATCAAAGGTGATAAAAAATTATTATGTGCATATGTGTTTTCTCAGTTTCTCTATAATCACTCATTTTTATAGGAGGAGATCCACACTAAAAATAAATGAATATGATGAAGCCACATATGCTATGGACTCTCATATGTTCCCAATCATATGTCTGTAAATGAATTATTCTTGGTGTGTATAAAATTTACACACATTTGACACACATTTGTACGTAATTGTGTGTATATAAACAATTGTTGTACGAGCTGCTTGTGTGAAGATGCGATTAAGAAATGCACACATTATCTGAGTGCAACATACAATTACGTAGAAATATGTGACAAAGTAGAAATTATTAGAAGACTATTTGCTCCTATAACCCAGTCCCATGCCCCTGCCCAAATCCTTAAAATTGGGTAAATCTGAAAGAAAAAATTCCACTTTTTGTCCCATGACTATTATACCACTTCCACATTTAGTCTCTTACTCTCAGATTGTCCACATTTAGTCCGTGACCATTATCCCTTCACCACCCTTCGTCCTTCCGGCCAAAATTCCGACAAATTTAATGCAGATTTAGGTATGAAAAACAAAATTTAATGCAAAGATTGATATGAAAAATCCAACCTGATACAAAATTAAATGCAAAGACTGATTCTGAGGCTGGGAAGTGGACTAAATTTGTCAGAATTTTGGCCGGAAGGACCGAGGGTAGTGAGAGGATAACGGTCACAGGCTAAATGTGGACAATATTAAAGTAAGAGATTAAATATGAGAATGCTGTAATAGCCGGACCAAAAGTAGAATTTTTTCAAAAGGAAATTCAGGTTTGATAATGAAGCAATTTGAACCAAACCCGCTTGAGAGTTGAGGTCATAAGGATTAAGGATTGACGAAGGATTGGAACGAAACCTTGTACGTGAGTAGCTACCCATTCGAATAGAGACGACTGCAGGAAACCAGGAGTGCGCTGCGCGTGAGTCCAGAATCACTTCATCCGGACGCGGAGAGGGCGGCCGCATACCAGGTGTGTTTGCTAGCTTTATTTTTAAATCTTTAATCAATTTGACGTTGGACTTTGATTGTGTTATGATAGAACAAGTAATTCATTCAATCACAACACACATAAATGAATAACCAGAAGTTGTAAGAGAAATTTGAGAGGAAGAAGATGTATTATTCACTTCATGATCGTAAAAATAGTACATGGCTGGCCGTTTATAGCTCTATCAACTATACAACAGTAATAACCTATCCGTTATTCTCCCAACTACTACAACTAATCACTTGTTATTCATTGGCCAGCTGGGTCTTCGCTCTTCCTCTTATCCACGTTGCTAAACTGTTAGGAATGACTCTAATTCTGAATAGTGATGCTTTAATCTTGACATTACTCCCTTCTTCCTTTGAAGCTTGTCCACAAGCTTCTAGTTGAGGAAACTGTTTGATGATCAAATCATAGTCTTCCCAAGTAACCTCATCCTCCTTCAAGTGTGCCCATTTGATAAGCACTTGAACTACAGTTGCATTGTTCCTTGAGAAAATTAACCCACATATGACTAAAATTTAATGTGTTTCCCAAAATATGACTTCTATATTTTTTCTTCCCAATATGATAGTGTTTCGTATGTATAAAACTAATATTTAATCATATTTTGGGATGTACAAAAGTAGTAGTCATATATTCTGAAATTGTCAATGTTTTAGGCATATATTAGTAAATATCCCTTGTTCCTTTTCACAATTCTCCTAGCTAGAATTCTAACAGGAATTAGCATGATGTTCCCTTCCTCATTCAAAGCTGGTATAGATTCTGAAATCTTGTCCTTCACTCCCACATGTTTCTTGAGTAAGGACACATGAAATACTGGATGTATTTTGCTCCCCTTGGGTAAATCCAGTCTATAAGCTACTGCTCTCACTTTCTCTATCACTGGAAATGGTCCACAGTATTTTGGACTTAATTTCCACATAGCTGATTTCTTCATGCTTAGCTGCCTGTAAGGTTTGAGTTTAAGATAGACCCAGTCTCCTATACTCAATTCACGCTCACTTCTTCCTCTATCGGCCAATTCTTTCATTCTTTGCTTAGATATATTCAGCTGGTACTTGAGTTTTTCTGAAACAGCTTGCCTTCTTTCCAACTCATTCTCCACTCCCACTACTGATAATTCTGAGTAAGGACCCATATTGATCAAAGGTGGTTTGTATCCAAACAAGGCTTCAAAGGGACTCATCCTAGTAGCAGTGTGGTAACAACTATTGTACCACCACTGAGCTAAGGATATCCACTTACTCCAGTCCTTAGGATTCTGCCCACACATGCATCTTAGGTAACTTTCTAAGCATTGATTCACCCTCTCTGTTTGCCCATTAGTTTGGGGATGATAAGCAGTGGTTAGATGGTGTTGAACTCCCATTGATTTAAACAATTCCTTCCAGAATAGACTAATAAACACTTTATCCCTATCTGATATAATAGATTCCGGCAATCCATGAAATATGCAGACTTGATTTAAGAATGTTGTAGCTATAACTGGGGCTGTAAAGGGATGATTTAATGGTACAAAATGAGCATACTTGGTATATCTATCAACTACTACCAGTATAGCATCATACCCATTAGATTTAGGAAGTTTTTCAATAAAATCCATGGTGATGTGCTGCCAAGCTTGCTGTGGTACTGGTAAAGGCTGCAACAATCCTGGAGTCCTAACATGTTCATGTTTACAAATTTGACAAATATGACAGTCTTTCATCACCTCTTTTATTGTTTGAGTAAGCTGAGGCCACCAAAAGTTAGTTTTTATTCTTTGTAGAGTCACCAATACTCCTGAATGACCTCCTTGAGGGCTGCCATGTATCATAGATACTATTTTCTTCCTCAAATCTCCATAGGAGCCTACATACAGTTTCCCTTTATATCTCAACATTCCATTAGAATAGGAATAGTAACTCATATTATAAGGAAAAGTTACAAGCTGTAGAATAGCTTCCTCAGCCTCCAGGTCTTCTTTGTAACTTTCAATCAATTCTTTCTGCCATTCTGGTCTGATTACTGAAATAGCCAATGATTCCCCTACTGCTTGGAAATCTTGCTGATCCCTTCTAGACAAAGCATCTGCCACCTTGTTGTCATGGACCTTTTTATATTCTATTTTGTAATCAAACCCCAGCAATTTGGTCAAATACTTGTGTTGAATAGGAGTAGATATCCTTTGGTCAACCAAGTATTTCAGATTGATCTGTTCTGTCTTGATTATAAAAGGAGCATGAAGCAGGTAGGACCTCCATTTTTCAGTAGCTAATAATATAGCTAGAATCTCTTTTTCATATATGGACAGTCCTAAGTTTTTGGTACCCAGGGCCTTGCTGACATAAGCTAATGGATGCCCCTCTTGCAGTAATACAACTCCTAACCCTTCATAACATGCGTCTGTCTCCACTATAAAAGTTTTATTGAAATCAGGCAGCTGCAAAACAGGCACAGTGCACATAGCTGCCTTAAGTGCTTCAAAGGCTTGTTGAGCTGTTTCATCCCATTTGAACATCCCTTTCTTAGTCAGATTGGTCAAGGGTTTGGCTTTGATTCCGTACTGAAAACAGAATTTCCTGAAGTATCCCGTCATACCAAGGAAACCCCTTAATGCCTTCAGAGTAGAAGGCACTGGCCATTCTACAATGCTTCTGATTTTCTCAGGATCTACTGCTACTCCAGCTGAACTGATTATATGCCCCAAGTATTCCACCTGTGATACCCCAAATGTACATTTAGACCTTTTGGCAAAGAGAGCATGTTGCTGAAGTAAAAGAAAGACTTCTCTTAAGTGTTTCTTATGTGTTTCCTTGTCCAAGCTGTAAATCAGTATGTCATCAAAGAAAACCAAAACAAATTGCTTCAAACAGTCCTTGAACACATTATTCATTAGAGCTTGAAATGTGGCTGGCTACCCTATAATAACCCAATGTGTAGATATATTTTGGTTGCATAATGACCTGGCATTGCATATGGCAGGAAATTAAGTAGACCTTCGCTAGTTCGGCTTTGTGATTTTGGCTGTTTTCTTGCACTGATTATTGAGGCTACAACAAACAGGTAAACTCCTGTAAAGAGTTTCATTGTCAGCTTTTATTTTTTCAAATGAAGGTTCTACTTTGTATAGGTTTTGGTATTTGGTATGTCATATAGATTTAGAGTTCAGTTACTTGAGCTTGAGTAACTCAATGTATTTTTTATAAATTGAGTTACTCAAGCTGCATATATTTCGGTATGGCATATAAAATGCAGTTTTTCGAATTACTCAAACTGCTATGAAGATTTATATTCTTTGGACGGCAGCTTTTAATTCAGCTTTTGTTCTTTGTCTTTCTGTTTTCCAAAATTTACTCAAATTGCTAAGATAATAGCTTTCCTTTACTTGTTCTTGTTGCTCATGATGCTATTATATCTACATATTTATTACTCCCTCAGTCCCAAATTGTAAGATACATTTACTATTCACTTGGTCAACATAGATCACTCTTAATCTGTTACTTTATATACCAAAAGTTTATGAAATTTGAATCATTTTTTGCAGGGTTTGTAGCGGTTTTAATGTAGTTTCTGAATATGTAAATTTTATTTTCTAAAACTAATTTGAGTGGTGACAGGATCAATTTGCTTTAGGAAAAAGGGGCAAATAAGGTCACGTACTAACCAAAAAGGGTCAAATAAGCCCTTATATAGGAGGCTCTGTCCGGTCGTCGCCATTTGGGGCAGTTCCCGGTGGAATTTTTTGATGAATTTTTTGAGAATCTTATTCATTAAGTCTAGTTTATTTATACCAATTGAAGTTTTAGCTGAAATTTGGTATGAGTTAACTAGACTTGATGAATAATATGCTCAAAAAATTGCATCAAAAATTTCCACCGGGAACCGCCCCAAATGACGACGGCCGGACATAGCCTCCTATATAAGGGCTTATTTGACCCTTTTTTGTTAGTACGTGAGCTTATTTGCCCCTTTTTCCTTTGCTCTATTGTCAGTCAAATATCGTAAACCGTAAAGTATCTTACAAATTGGGACGGAGGGAGTAGTATGCAAATAAGAAGTCATTGGTCTTGGAATTAATATTTATCCTCTTTTCAATTTAAAGCCAGAGCTCCGTTGCTCAGTAGCAAAGACAAAAAGAAATTGCCCTAAACAGGAGTAAAAAATGTGAAATTCCGAAGTAGAAGTGCTATGTTTTTCCCGTAAGTCGGTATAATTACTGTCATGTTTGAAAAATACTGTCAACTATGACATTAATCCTGCCATATAATGTGCGTCAATGCCAAAATTTGGTAGCACGTTTTCAGGACAGGATGACACTAATTTACTCCTATTTAGGAAAAAGAGCTGCTTTTGAATTTCACATTGATTTGACTTCCATTTCGGGGAGTTTATTTTTTGTCTTTGTTGCTGAGATCTAGCTTTCATTTGAAAAAGAATATTTCCTATAGTGTTGGGATCTATTTTATTAAACCTATTTGTTTCGCAGGCTGTCAATTACACGAACTGGTGCCAAGAATGGTTTCTGAATTAATTAATGCTAATCCTATTATTTATGAGAAGAGGGAACGTAGAGCTCGGTGTACACCCGTTGATAAGGATGAATCTGCTGTGGAACCTATTGACCAAGAAGAAATATTTGATATCCTTTTTGAGTGGTTGCGTTCTATATTTATATGCTAACTATGTCAATAAAGTTTGAATTGTTTTACTACTGTTATAATTACTACAGTTATTGTTATTACTATTTTAAGCTGATGAATTGCAAAGTGGACATTCTTTTAGCAATCTCAAAGCATTGGTGACACATTTTTCTTACACTGAAACAATGCTTTATGAAGTCACTAAAAAAAGAAGAGTATACGTAAGTGGCTAAAGAGTTATGTTTGTGACTGCATGTTATTTTTACGTATTTACTCTTGTCATATATTGTCTTGTGATCAAGGAAAATTCAAGTTCAATGGGGACAATGGGATATCAACTTGTTAATTCTTCCCACAGAAAATTTTAAACTTTCTGATACAATTCTTTAACATGCATACATCATCTTAGAGACATAAAAGATCCAGAGCATCCTTATTCTTTAGAAGAGCTGAAAGTTATTACAGAAGATGCCATTGAAGTAGACGACAACAGGAGTTATGTTAGGTGAGAAACATTTGAATAGAGGTGTTTTCATTTCACACCATTCTGGCTTTTTACCATCCTGTAGATAACTTATGATGTAAATGCTTTTATTGCAAGCATTTTCTCCTATAAGCACCTTAGGTAGTTTTTTTTTTTTTCAAGAAGCGCCATATTCTACTAAATACTAATAAAATAAGCATTAGGAGTGCTTCTATATATCATAATTGCTAAAAGCACATTTCCATTTTCCTACCAAACACTACTTTGTAACAAGTAGAAGTACTTTCTGCCCTTTAATAAGCATCTATACCATGAAAACAAATATCATAATTGTTTTTGTCTAAACCCAATAATTATTGGTTTCAGGGTAACATTCACCCCAACTGTGGAGCATTGCAGTATGGCAACCATCATAGGCTTATGCTTGCGGGTCAAACTCTTGCGTTGCTTGCCTTCTCGTTATAAAGTATGCTTCCTGCTTCCATAAGCTCAATGCTAGACTTACAAAATTGCATCACTCATCATGTTATGATGAATGGAGTTCATGAAGCCACTGCACTCATCTTCATTTTATTGTCTAATTAGTGTCAATTCAAAATGTGATCTCCGTATTTATTGTGTATGAATATAATTAAGAATGGGTCTACTTAAAATAAGGTTTAATGGCAGTTTATTCTTCTATCAATTGTGTCAGCATGACAATTTGTCACTTTATTGGAGCAAAGATTTTAATGGACAAATTCTCACAAGCTATGTCAGCACGACATATTAGCTTGCAAATGTTTTAGCAAACTTTCTTCCAGGTCCTAGAATAGAATTTATCTGTAACAAGTTTGATGCATATGATTTCTACTCTCCAGCTTGAAGGGAGTGTTGAAACACTCTACCCCAGGTGTATTGGGCTCAGCCCACTTTGTGTAGTTAACCCTAGTTATAGGCTTATAGCTATAAGGGAAAATTACTATTATCCATTGAGGTATAGTCATAATCACCAGTCTAACCTTGCATTTTCAAAAGTCAATTGATTACTCTTCGAGTCTTAATTAGTCTCACTATTTGCCCCTTGACGCCCATATTTATCTCTTTAATATTAATAAAATAGTTCAAATTCAATGAAGTTTGTCTACAATATTCACCTTTAATATCTAATACAATTCATCATAATAATAAGTTCCAGTTGCTGATCAATACTCCATAGCTATTCGCGGAAGAAATTTTATTTGGAGTAGGTCAGGAGAAGAATTGCGAGTAATCTATATTAAAGTTGTCTATACTATGTGCTCTTAAATTCTAAGGATTTCTCATTCCTCAATGACATTTCCTTTGCGTAGCAAAGCAGAAGAAATAAAGGTCAATAATTATGGCTTAGAATCACGATGATGAATCATTTGGACTTTAAGATCATATATCTTAAATATCTTCCATTAGATATGAGAACTATACAAAGTTAAATGAGATAAATGTTAACAGAAGGGGTGAACAGTGAGACCAATAAAAACTCAAGGGGTAACTAATTGACTTTTCAAAATGCAAGGTTGAACTAGTATATATGACCAAGCCTCAAGGGGTCAATACTAATTTACCCTAGCATAAATATAGACCTTGTACTCTCTTTGAAGAATCAATAAGAATGAAGTAGGAGGCATGTGGGAAGGGGTAAGGGGTAATATACGAGGTGGGGGTAGGGTAGGGTGGGTCGGGGTGGGTTGAGGTTGTAGGGGGTGGTGGTAGGGTAGGGTGGATCGGGGTGGGACCGAGGTAGAGGCATGTGGTAGGGGGTGGGGTAGGGTCATTGTAGGGAAAAGGGGTATGTGGGGTGGGGGTTGGGTAGGGTAGGGTAGGGGTAAGGTACTAGGATGGAGGTACTAGAATGGAATCGACATCGGAGCAGGACCGGACCCACCACTAGGTGTAAGTATGCAAATTCATTGCAGCGGCCTGTATCATCTGCGTTTTCCAAATTTGGAAAACTAGTAAAAGTCACTTCTCCAAATCATTAAGGAAAAAAGAGACATGTCTCATTTTTTTCATTTTGGAAAACGGTTTGGTAAATGGTTTTTCTGTTTTCCTTTCTCCAGTTTTTCAGCAATTTTCTTTGGTAAACATGTTTCCTGTTTTATGTTTTCTAGTTTTCCAGTTTTCTGGAAAACTGGAAAATATCTTTGTTAGTGAACATGCCCTTATATTTTGCAATCTCAATGTTGCTAGGAGGAAATACCATAAAATCCATTAAAAATGATTAAAACAGATGCTAGTTTCATCAAGAGATCTTATTCAAAAGAAAATTTGGAAACCCAAAGTTTCTGAGATGCTAATTATCTAGGTAAACGGATTTCTCCATTTTTTTTAATAACAGAAACAGCTTTAAAATGGAATTTGAGGTTTCCGAGTTTTGTGTACAAGGAAACCTCAGCTGTGGAAAGTTTCTGTGCTCCTTATATATGCATTAATGATGTGTTTGTGTGGTGCTATCAGGTTGATATTAAAATTGCACCAGGAGCACATGTATCTGAAGTTGCAGGTCTCTCTCTATCTCCTAATCTCCCTCTCTCTATTTGAGATTTAATTAAAAAAACATGGAATAACACAACAAATGAAGGTAACATTTGCTGGCCAAAAAATGAATGTAACATTTCATTACCGTTTATTTGTTTCTAGCAACATCATTAAAAACAAAAAATCATCAAGATCCAAAACCCTTGATCGAAACTGAATCCATATGGAAAAATGGATAGGGCAGTCCATTAATTTGGTTATTTACTATGCACACTATTGTTGGGCGGGGGAGATTTTGATTAGGGCGGTTTTTTATTTTATTTTATTTTGAGTTTTTGCAGTAAATAAGCAATTGAACGACAAGGAGAGAATTGCTGCTGCTTTGGAAAGTCCTTACCTTGTAGACATACTTGACGAGTGCCTTGCACCATCTTATCAAACTTGACAACGGAGACTTGCTGCTGCTTATGAATATATAGGAGAATGGTACTTACTCTTTGGTACTTTGCTACAGACTATACACTGCACATCTTTGATGCCTTCCTGTCTCAAGCTCCCTTCTCTAAAGGCTCATCTTAATCTTATTACTGACGTCGATTTTTTGAAAAAGGTTCAGTATTTTGTATCTTTGTGTTAAAAAATGGCAAAGTTCATAGCATTTTTGTCTGTGGTTAATAAACAAATTAAACAACGATTTATATATTGTTCAGAAATTCCCTACACTAGTCCATGTACATGGTTTAGGAACGTCTTAGTGTTCATCTCCCACTGTTGTCATCTATTAAGAATATGGCAGCACACAACAATGGGTATTGATAGAAAATTGAGGAATGGATGACCCTGAACCTAAATGCATGATGGTGCATTTATATCGAGATCCATTTCTCTGAACATTAGCGTGATTTTAATGGGGGATTATCTCACTCAGAAAATGGACTTCAGTGTTTCAGGTTGAATAATTTGCATTGCGAATCACACATGTTCCTATATATCTTGTAGTTCACTAAGTTCTTATATAGTGATTGTTTTTTGTTGAGATTTTTCCTTAAATATTTTTGAAATACAGAGTATAACTTGTGGACAAATATAACAGACAGTCACTGTTAGACAGACTGTTAGAGTCGGTTATAAGTTTGTTCTTATTGTTTGTGGCTTTGGTTTAGTTAGTTGAGCTGCCAGCTTATAAATACCTTGTACTCTTTTCAATATTGAATAAGATCAGTTTGTTATCTCTCAATATTCTTCCATCTGCTTAGTTTCTATTATGGTATCAGAGCTTTGCTCGATCCATTAATGGCGATCACGACTGAAACTTCTTCCAATTTGTTAGATCACCGGTTATTCTGATTTAGAGTCGTAGAGAATCAGTAAGAAAGAGATCAAGAAAATGTTTATTGATGATGTGTTTACAGAAGGAATACAATGGACCATTCGAGATGCCCAATCTCCTAGCCTAGCCAAATCCAACTGAATACTTGCCTACCTTCTCCTTTTCCCCTTCCTTTCTATTTATAGTACTTCTATTTCTTTAAGGGCTGGCCCATTATTCCTGTTTTACTAAATGGTCCAGAATCTTCACTTATACACTATTACACTCTTTAATACTACTCTAATATTCTTATTAGTATTATTGTCTATGTTCCTATCAATACTCCCCCCCTAAAAGACCACTTTGTCCTCAAGGTGGGTGATAAGGAACAATCATGATCTTCCACTTCAACTGCATTCTTTGCACCTCTCCCCTCCCAATACTTGACTGGTTTCTGGACTTTTAGCTTCAGTACTTGAACCTTCTTCCATATGTACTTCACAGCAGGAAGAAACAGAAATAAGGACATAGTGGCATAATGCTTCTTATTGTTGTAAATTTTATAACATCCAAACATCAGCATCTTTCCTTGTAACCTTGGCTTTTCTTCCAATATCTTTTCCAGGAACTTGATTCTTTCAGATTCTGCATGATTCTTAAAATTGTCAACAACACCAATCTGTTTTATTTCATCAACCTTTTCTTCAACACTGCTACCAAGAGCAAAATTATCACCCCCTTTCAGTCCCATATCTGAGGAGTCCAGGGATAGAAGCATGACAATCTTGTGTTCATTATCATCCCTTGTGTTCTTTCGAATTGAATGTCCAACGTAGGCCAAATTTTCATCCTCGTACCATCTGTCTTCCTCAGAAAGTACTCCTAAAGAATTCCCAACTTTACATCTATATTTTCCAGGAATGACTTTGGTGAACAAGAATTCACTGCTCTCATTTCTTACATGATTTAGTTTCCTATTGTCCTTGCTTTTTCCATCCATATGTACGAGAGTAAGAGAAGCAAAAGAACTAGGAAATTTTCCTATCATCCCTGCAACAGAACGAATTTTAGGAATATAAACCTGAACAACAGATGATTGTTCCCCGCGTTGGTCGTCCGGATTCAGTTTCTTGATTACAGATTCAGTTCCATCGACTACTGTAATTTTCTCCACGAGTTCTTTTTCCGGATATGTTTCCTTGATTACAAATTCAGCTAGCTTCAACTTGGAAGAGAAGACGTGCGCAGGTTTAGAAACTTCTTGCGACAAAAATTGCGAACAAGAATATTCTTCTCTAGATAGCATCGCAATCTGACGCGAGTGAATAACACATGGGAACGCCTGTGGACTGAGACCAGCTGTTGCAGGTGGCTGCGAACTGAAAGAAACAATTCACGATTGCGAACGGGGAGATGGGTTTAGCGACAACGAACTGTGATGAGAACTTGGAGAAACAGTTTGCGCATGAGGCTGATGTGGTGATCGCGATCTTGCTCTGGACCGAAATTGTTCACTCGATGCGGCCATGGAAGTCGTCAAGTTTGCCGCCAAATTTTCCATTGCTGAACGCTGATTGTTCACAGCTGATTGCAATTCCTTCATCTCTGCTTGAATCTCCAGTAGTTTTCGCTCCAGATTATCCATGCGAATATCCATTTTAGCTCGCGTCCGGAACATTCACCACTTGAAACAAAAATTTCGCTGAAGTCGCAACTCAATTCCGATCCCCAGAGCTACGCTCTGATACCAATGTTAGATCACTGGTTATTCTGATTTAGAGTCGTAGAGAATCAGTAAGAAAGAGATCAAGAAAGAGATCAAGAAAGTGTTTATTTATGAAGGATGTGTTTACAGAAGGAATACAATGGACCATTCGAGATGCCCAATCTTTAAGGGTTGGCCCATTATTCCTGTTTTACTAAATGGTCCAGAATCTTCACTTATACACTATTACACTCTTTAATACTACTCTAATATTCTTATTAGTATTATTGTCTATGTTCCTATCACAATTCTTCTACCTCAACTGGAGCATCTGTATCTCCAGTCACCTTCACACATCCTTTCCCTGTAAAACTTGATTCTAACAACTTCCTCTTCTAGAAACATCACGTTGAATCAGTTGTATGAGCACACAAACTACTTCGGTTTCTTGTCAAACCTGTTATTCCAGATCGTTTTGCCAGTCGCGATGATGAAACTAATGGAATCGAGAATGATGCATACATCACCTGGGAACAACAAGACCAGATGTTGTTTTCATGGCTCCTTGCGTCATTATCTGAGTCATTTCACGCTCGAGTCATTCACTGCAAACATTCGCACCAGCTTTGGACTGAAATCAACAAACACTTTCAATCACACATCTTAGCAAAAGCAAGGCAACTGAAGTCGGAACTATACAACACAACTAAAGGTGACAGATCAATCTCAGATTATCTTCTTCGTATTCAAACTATCGCAGATAACCTCAGTGCTATCGGAGAGCCTATTTCCTACAAGGATCACATCAATGTAATCCTTGAAGGTCTTCGTGAAGAATCCGAATCTCTTGCATTATCTATTTCTTCACGAAGTGTTCTAGATCCTCCTACTTTATCTGAAGTTGAATCCCTACTGTCTGCCAAAGAAATGCGATTGCAAAAGCTTCGTGATTCTTCAAAACAAACATTGTTCTCTGCTAATGTTGCTCACCTGGAAATATCTCCTCAAGTCACTGATCAAGCCTCTCAAACTACTCCAGATACTGCTTCTGTTCAGGTAGCTCAGTTTAATAATCCTGACAATCATTCCTATAGAGGTAGAGGTCATGGTCGCTCTGGTGGAAGGAATTCTATAGTTTGCCAAGTTTGTGGGAAAATGGGTATCATGCATTGATCTATTACCATCGCTATAATCCAGCCTACACTGCTCCTCATACTTCTCCTTCCTCAAACCAATGGAACCAGTATTCGGAGTACTCACAATACTCAAATCCATCATCCACTGCCTCAAATCCTACTGCCTCAAACTTTCCCAATCCTAGCCCTACTAATCCACATCCACCATATTCCAACTGGCATCAACAAAACCAAAACAACTGGAATGAACAACCATACAATCCCTCACCAAGTACTGCTTGGGCCTGTGTTACTCCTTTTGTCCTTGGACCCCCACAACAAGCTCAAACTTGGTTCCCTGATTCTGGTGCTACACATCATGTTACAGTTGATCCCCTCAACCTTCAACACAATGAGACTCTTGCTACTACTGACAAGCTCTTTATGGGCAATGGTCAAGGTGTGGATTTTAAGTCTATAGGGTTTTCTACTTTCCCTTCACCTTATCAATCATCCTTGTATCTATCTCTTAATCATATCCTTCACGTTCCTTCTATTACTAAAAATCTTCTTAGTGTCGGTCAATTTGCCAAATGTCTTTTTTGAATTTCATCCTTATGATTGCTTTGTGAAATCTCAGGTTTCTAAACAGGTTCTTTTACATGGTTCTTTTGGAGAAGATGGTCTTTACAAGTTTGAGTCAATTCCAGCTCTTGGTAGGGATGGACTCGGGTTCGGGCCGGGTCCGGGTCGGGCCTAGGCCCGGGCGGGCCGGCGGTTCAAGAATAGTGGACCCGGGACCGGCCCGGGTAGCCACCGGGTCCGGTCCGGGTCCGGGCCGGGCCTCCGGTTTGGATTTTTATTTTTATTTTTTTTCTTTCCTAACCCCCCCCCTCACCCCCCACCCTCCCAAACCCCCCCAAACTCATCCTACCCATCAAGCCCAACCCGGGTGGAACCCCAAAAATGAAAAAAAAATAAAAAAAAATCAATTTGGCCCGGGCCCGACCCGGCCGGGCCGGTTCACCAAAATTGAGACCCGAGCCCGGACCCGCCCTACCCCCCGGGCCTAGGCCCGACCCGGACCCGGACCTGAGAACCGGGCCGGTCCCGGTCCCGCACAGTAACAGGCCGGGCCGGTCCACGGGCCGGGTGGCCCGACCCGAGTCCAACCATAGCTCTTGGTCTCCACCGGTCTAAAAAGTCATATTTTTTAATCATTTTTTCAATCATATATTTGTCATTATTTCTTTTTTGTTTGCGCATAGTAATCAATTAATGCAGTGCGCACACATTCAGATTTTTTAAGACTGCTGCCTCAATTGAAATAGTTGATAAGATTATATTAGGGAAGGAATTTGTTCCAAATAGGAGTAAAACCTATTTAAAATGTATTGATTGATACTAGTATTATGTAATGAGTTAGCACCAAATTTTATGAATTTTGGCATTATTATTGAGCACAAGTAGCTTATAACTTTATAGAAAAATTAAAAAGGGTATACACTTAATTTTTGTAAATATGTAACATTAACTTAAATGTACATACTAAAAGACGTATATAAACCCAAATATCTCTAAAAAAATCTTTTTTGGTACATGAGAAAAAACTAAATTTATATATTTAACTTAAAAGTTAATTGATTTTAGAAAATTTATTTAGATGTTCCAATTAAGAATATCTCCAAATATAATAATATCTAAATTCTATAATTCTATTAATTTTATTTAACAAATCAAAAATATATTCTCAATTTCTTAAATGCGAGATGCTCTTAATTGAAATCTTGATTATATATTCTAAATCTAAATTCATTCATTAAGCAGTTTGTTGGAACCAAAATCGAAAGGAAAACAAAGATTAGTGATTTTTATTGAGAGAAGAAGAGAATTGTGGGTTGGTGTCCAAAATGATCAAAACAGTTAGATTTGTGCTAACTTGTTCTATTGAAAACCTTGGTGAGCAATATAAGATTCACATGTAATATTAGGGATGGACTAGGTTTCGGTTTCGGTCCGGTCTCGGACTGGCCGGTTCTGACCCCGGACTAGTCAATTCTGATCTTGGACTAGCTGGTTTCGGCCCGGCCGGTTCCAGTGTCAAGGTAAGGAAGACCGTGTTCGAACTGGATAAATTCGGTTCCGGGTAGATTCTGGTCCAGTTCTTTTTATTATTTCATCTGCCAGGCAAAAAAAAAGTGGTCAGTCCGGGATCGGAATTGGGGCCGGAACCACCCGATCCGGTCCCCAAAAAAGAGATCCCGTACAGGGGCTGCCCTTTACCCAGTCCGGCACGATCCAACAAAGTACTGGACCCGGTTCTTGTTTGGTGCGGTCCGACACAGTATCAATCCCGGTTCCAGTCCGGTTCGGGTCTGCTAATCGTGTCCACCCCTATGTAATATTGGTCGGTCTCGATCCAAAAAATTGAGGCCCGGGACCAACCCCCTTCACGCGTCCCTCGGTCTCAATTTCAACCCGAAACTCGAATTCGTGATCCTGGTCCCAGATTGAAAATCGGATGGTCTTGGTTCGTCCGATCGGTACCTTGTCCACTCCTATATGGACCAGTCTCATGAATATCCATGGATCTTTCCTTTTTATTCAAGAATGTGCACCAGAGGTCCAGCCCAACACGTAGGAGCTGTAACCTCCACACGGTCGTTGCAGATTTCGAACCTTGGTCATTATTTCAAATTTTCCACCACTGAACCAATTGAGCTACCCGTGCGGGTTTCCCCTACCCCCATTTTATTTAATAGAGGTATGAAATTGTAATTTCAAAAAATAGTATTTGTTAGAATAAATAAATGTTACTATGTATATGTTATTTGTATAGTCCATTACTTCTCCTGTCTCTTATAATTTTGCCATATTTTCTTTTTTGGATATCCCTAATATTGTTCAATTTCTCTTTTAATCAATGAATTTGTAGTTCATTTTTTTTATTCGCAAGTAAATATGCAAGTATATCACTTTTTTTTGCATTTAGGGTATGTTTCGGAGTTTGGAGGGAAGGGGAGGGGAAGACTTTGGATGTACGATGTTGGAGGGAAAATGGAAGGAGGGTGATGAAGCCCTTCTTTGTATTTGGGAGCAATAAATTTGGAAAAGGATTTTCGAATGAATTATAATTAAAATCAATTTGAGATATGATGCATTCAAATAATTGAACTGATATTTATTTTTAATTGAGCTTAAATTACCATTTGGTTAATAATCCTTCAAAATCCTCCAAATTGGTGGAACTCAAAAATTGAGCATTTAGACCATTAGCTAAAATATAACCTGAGTCAACCAATTTGGGAGGACCAGCAACATAAAATGCGTAAAACCCTCGACCAGGGCCTAATAAAATGGGTTGATCAGATATGGCTTTTCCTTTGATTGAGGGCAAATGTTGCTTGTTCAAAAGGCAAGCACCCTTTCTTGATTCTATTGCCTGATTCACACTTGTTTTGTCATTTTTGCATTGTTCACCAATCTCTTGATCTTATATCTTTTTCCACATATTTTGCTTTATTATATAAATATTTAATGACAAAATAATAAAATAGGATAAACAGCCGTGTATTATGAAAGAATGGTTGACTGTGCGAGTATTTTTGAAAGATTTGTCCAAGTTTTATACCATTTTCTTTGAGCTAAATATTTCATTGGAAATCCTATCAAAAGCACTTTTAAGTTACCCCATTTGACTTTCATTGGAACTAAACTTGCGTCAAACCTCACCCCTATGAGGCTGTGACCAACTTTGCTGTCTTTGAGAGCACTCTAGGCTTTAAACTATTTGAAATCACACTTTTCAATTTTGTTGAAAATAAAATGAAAAGTGAGATACCAACGCAGAATGGAGTGTTTTTTATTGTTTCTAGTTTCGACAAGTAATTAATTTAGAGATTATTTAAAAGTTTTTAAAGTATAAGATAGTGGTATTAAAAGGATTAATTTTGTTTAAAATGTATGTTTTGCATAATATAAAAAGGGAAAATGGTTTTTAACTCTTCTCATTTGTTTTCAACTTTCACCTTCAACTTTTATCTTTAAAGTGATTAATTTAGGCAGAAGTGTCTCAAATACCACTTTTAAGTACAAAGTACTTTTTAAGCAAAAACCTGAAAACACTTTCTAAAAACCAAGGAAAACACTACTTATCTAATCAAACACAAGATATCGCACGATGATAAAACCAAAATAAATAAATAAATAATCAATAAATAAAGATTGCCCAAGATTGCAAGCGCCGTGTTATTGTACAAGGAGAAACTGAATTTATTAGAATCCAAAATTCAAATTCTTATAAAACCGTATTACACCCGGAACAACAGAGCTTCAAAGCTTAGACTAGAGGCCTCTTGTCTTCCTCTATTTCATCTTCTCCTTTTTCTGATACTCTCTTAAACTCTTTGAGATGATATTTAATTTGCTTCTTTGGGGCATCAGATGACATAGGTCGAACTGAAGGTTTAGTTTCAGGCAAAAGCTTCAACAAAATTCCCATGCATATAAGTAGCAATCCCGAGCAATGTTGCTCTGTCAGCGGCTTTGTAAAGATCAAGTAAGACAACAGCAAAGTAACTGCCTTTCTTGCAGTTGTTACCTGCATTTGCAAAGAAGCGTGTGAATCTCCTGGACAGGAATTTAGTAATTATGAAGGGAAAAATTCCCTAAATATTTAATTACAAGCATTTTGCTCAATGTGTCTTTAATTAGTACGTAGTAAAAGTTAAGGGGCAGTACAAAATGGTTTTAGCATACAAGTATATAAGTAATATAACTAAGGATAGGTAATCCATATATTTACCATTGCAGTTGTGGCAGCACCAAAAATAGCTATCAATGATAGGACAGAAATTTGACCTACAAAGGTTGCCATTGCTTCAAAAACCAAGACGCCGTATACATAAGGGTGCTGCAGTTTGTATCAAAGATTATTGTTATACATTGTAGAAAAAAACTACAAGGCCAGATTTGCAACCAGAGCCAAAATGAACAAGGTTCATGTTGGGCAAAGGTTCAGGATATAAAAATTGTTTGACAACTTGCTATGTTACCTGATAACAAGATTTCCAGGCCTTGAAAACCTCTCCGGTTAAGATCATGGGCACGAGTAGGAAAGGTGCCCCAACTATAGTTGAGCAGAAAAGCATCTCCATCTAATATGCAATAGCATGAATAAAGGTTAAAAGACATCTTTTTAGTGATATCATTTAAACAATCACATGAACATCTCTAAAACTATGGTACTACCTGAGTAGTTTCAGGATTCAGGGTAAAAATGGCTTCTTGCAAATTACCCAGAAAAGAATCCATCACTAGAGCACCACTAATCATCATGACGCCGATCATACTAAAATTAGGAGAAGTGTTGGCATCTGCTAGAGTGAAAAGAATCAGGCCAACAACAAGGAGCAATGCAGAGATGTATTCTTGGAGAGGGTATTTTCTTCTTAATCCAGGAATAAAGGCACCCATTATCATCACAGGAAGTACCTATACCCCATGACGACAAATTCAATAGGAACCTAGAGAAATTTTCTAACCAACTATGGAACAGAGCATATTAACTTGCCAACAGAAAATAAAAGAACTCAAGTATGATGAAAATATCCTGATATTTCTATACTCCCAGCAGTCACTCAATATGACAGGGAGTGTAAAAAATGATGAAAGTATCCTGATATTTTTTATTTTTCTATAAAATTCCTGTGATTTTCTAGAATCATAGAGAGAAAACAAAAAATCAAGGAGTAACAGAAAATACCATAACATTTTGAGGAATATTGAGAAATAACAATAACATATATGAAGTATCAGTTCATTTTCATTTACCCCAGTGCCGCAAAGGCTCCCACCTACGGTGGGGTAAGGGGGGGTCGGATGTACGCAGTCTTACCCCTGTACTAAAGCACAGAGAGACTGTTTCCGGATGACCCATAGTGAAAATCGCGTCCAAAATTGTATGGACTGACTGCTTCTCCATAACAAAGAAGCGCAGACAGTTTAGTGAGCCATTTTGCTTTATTCCATCATAATCTCAAGCCAAAAAATAATGAATCTTTGGCTCCATTGCAAATGATGGAAATATATGAAGTATCAGTAATGGAATTATATTTTCTCAGAAAAACTAAAAAATGATGTTTTGTTTTCCCAATAAAAATCAGATTGAAATCGAAATGGTATAATTAGGTACCTTAGTTGATTTGAACATGATCTGTGCTGGATAGTTAAGATAAGCAAGGGAACCCTTTGTTAATCCATGAGAACCCATAAGAACAGCAGAGAGCTTTACGTAGGTTGTCCAGGGGTTCACCATTAGCTTCGTGGTGAAACCTTGTAAGCGTATGAGTGCTAAGTACACAAAGCCTTGAATGAAGGTAAAATACCACCCATAGCTGGGAAAATAAAACAAAAAATAGCTGGATAACCAAAACACAGAAAAAGCCAAAATGAAATACGAGTAATTTATACGTAGTAACGAAAGAAGTGTATCTGACTCATACCTGAACTGAAGCCTATTATACACATACTCCTGTAATTGAAAAAATCAAAAGCTCATCACTTCCATCATTTAGTAATTTGTTTATATATTGACAATAGTTCATTATGGAAACAGAAGCCTAAACAGGAGATCTCAGACCCAATAAAAAACACCCTAATCCAAATTTGACTACTAGATTGCAAGCGATGACATCAACAAATTTAAAACTATACAACGAACCCTTCAATATATCAAGTGAAATCAACAAAATTGCAAATTATAAGTGGCGTCCTGGGTGTAGGGTACACCCAGTGTGATTCTTGTAATTTTAAGAATTCTTCGTTTCCCACTACAAGATACACATTTTCAATTTGTCATTATCATGTTTCTTCTTGTTTTTCCGATCACTCTCTTCTTAAGAATGCTCATTTTCTTATCATGATGGCTTATTTTCCTTTAAAAAAGTGTTCATTCACTAATGTGGGATGTTGGATTATGAGGTAGATCTGGGTGGACCATTAAATCTGGATGTAGGATTATCCAAATATATATAGGACATGCAAAATTGTAAACCCAAAGAAAATCAAACACTGTAATAAAGCCATAAAGGCCTGATACTGTTAGAAATGATGACACCACATAATTCTCACCAACTCTGGGCCATTGTGGGGTTTATCTCTTAATCACATACTCTATAAATAAGGCGAAATTACAGAGAAGAAAGAAGCAAGAGACCTCGCAAATGCCATTGACAAGGTAACCGAAGAAGAACCCAGATGAGCAAATGAGGAATTGTTGCCATATTGGTCGATCAGATAAAGAAATCCCAAACAAGGACCTCGCTTGATCTTCATTGTTCTTCATCGCGCTGTCTCTTTCTCCGCGGTTAGCCCAAAACCAAGCTCGATCAATGAAAATGGAAAGTGCTCTGAACTTGCATGGCCAAGCAAGCAGGAAAAGGAAAAGGGTACCGAATTTCTTACAAAGCCAGCAAAGTATCGGACATTTTACCAGACATGGGTGACGAAGGCAGATAAAGAGAGAACTCTGGGTTTAGGTTGAATGAATTTGGGTGAGATGTTGGACTGTAAGCGTTATACTTTCCTCAAGAATACTTCCGATTTTTCTAAAACACAGTGCCAAACAACGCTCAAACGAGGCTAGAAAGCGGGTTGAGGGAAGGAAGAAGGTTTGGTAAGGTAATCGTTTTTTGTAAGGACAGTTTTTTTTTTCTTAAAAGAAGATACTTCATTTCTTCCTTTCTTTTCGTGTGCATTTTTTTTATTATTGTGATCTTTTTATGGTAACAAAATTTAAGACGTTTTGCTTCTATTTCTTTCCAAAATTTAAAATCATTATTTTATGGTGTGCGATACAGTGATTCTGTGATTATAGTTATTATTAGTGTAAATTGGCTTGAATCGCCGGATTAGTGTAAAGAATACGTTTGAAAATTTTAACACAAAGACTTTTAGAAATAATTACTCCGTACATATGTATAATTAAAATAAATGGTATTTCAAAGATGTGACCTTCCTAAGTACAACGATTATAACAGTAACTTAGTTTTAATAATTTATGTTGGATTTTATGCTTTAGTGACTATAAAATTATACTATAATAATTACTAGTCATTTTTTGTAAATAAATTTCATTTTTGTGATATTTAAAAAACTCAAGACTTTGGAAGTGACAAGATTATTTACCTCTACATTCTTGATCGACAAAATATGATTAATTTATGTTGAAATTAATCCAGCACGAAATAGTAAATAAATATATAAAAATTATATGAACACTCTGTTTTAATGTGGAAATCCGGAAGGGTGGAAATCACAGAATTTTTCGGGATAATATCCAAGTTAGTATCATTTTATTAATATCTTCATCACCATTTTAGTGCAAGTATCAAGTCTTGGGCTCCATTAATAGAGAGAGAGAAAGAAGTCGGGGGGGGGGGGGGGGGGGGGGGAGAGGATCCCTTAATTGGAATAACAATCATGGTACATGAGCACCCTTTTAGCATTGTTGAGGATGAAGTTTGGATATGGGCCTTCCAATACGTGATTCCTAAGAACATCTTCAATGCTACAATGTGCACGATGCACATGTGGCATGACAGATAGTCACATAAATATTAATAAATAAGTTCTTTCTCTTCTTATTGGAATGGTTTTATACAATTTTGGTAAGTTTTTCTCCACAATTTCAATGAGACCGTCTAGATGATGACATTGCAGTTAACATTGCAGGGAAAAACTTACCAAAATTGTATAAAATCATTCAAAAAAGGAGACACATAATTTATTTGCTAATATTTATGTGGTTATTTCTTATTCCACATGTGCACCGTGCACATTATAGCATTGAAGATGCTCTAAATTTTGCAAGGTATGTTGCAAAACTGCTAGGAGTGACTTATTAAAATATATGTAGCAGAACAGAAAGTCTTAAAAACTTTGTTGACATCTCTGAGCATGATTTGCTTAACTAGTGATATGTGGAGATCAACTCATCAAGTAGTTGAGTATATGGTTTTGACTGAACATTTTATTGATGTTGGGTGGAATCTTCAAAAGAAGGTCTTGAATTTTGTTAAAGTGCCTGCTCCTCGGCGTGGTGTAGATGTGGCACATGCTATATTCAATTCAAGTGCCTAAAAGTTTGGGGATTGAAGAAAATGTATTTTCTTTATCAATTGATAATGCTATGTACAATGATTCTTGTCTAAAGAACCTTAAGGATGACTTATTGCTCGACAATAAGTTAGTCCTTAATGGTAAGTTGTTTCATGTAAGATGTTGTGCTCATATTCTGAATTTACTAGTCCAAGATGGACTCAGTAAGATATAAGATACCATTCATAATATTCGAGAGTGTGAAGTATATTAATTTCAATGATTCAAGATTGAAATCATTTTCTGATATTGTCGTGCAAAAACATTCGAAAGAATGCTCATCCTTGATTGTCCGACAAGGTGGAATTCAACTTTTAAGGTGTAGCGTGGGCTTTAAAGTTCAAGATCGGTTTCCCTGCCTACACGGAAAGGGAACCCACATTTTAATATTGAGCCGTCTCTGGAAGAATGGCGTAAGGTTGGGCAGGTTTGTCAATTGTTGGAGGTTTTCAATTCTGCCTCTGATGTCATGCCTGGCAGTGATTACCCAACGTAAATACACCTTAATTAAGTATAATAAATCTAATTTATCACACTTAATTTATTCTATCAAATAGAACTCTCCTTCAACTTCATGAATTAAATATAGTTTAATCTAACTAATTAATATTTAATTAATTTTCAGTATTACAAATTAAATATTATTAAATCCAATTAATATTTAATTTCTTCCAACAATTCAATCAGAAGGTATAATCACTTGTTTTGTGACCCATAGGGCCTTATATATTAAGCACTAATCAAATTAAGGTCTTAGCAAAATACCTAGACGATTTACCATCCAGACAACGAACTTCCCGTAATATAGAGCTCATAATGATACAGTCCTTTCATTCAACGAACATTCAACTAAGTCTAGAATATGATATTGTGTCTATTCCAATAACTTAGTCTCTATCTCTCAATCTTTCTAGATGACCCATAATGATAATATTCGATATCCAAAATGAATATATCTTTGCATTGGCCAATGACTTTATGATCCATCTAGATATGAGAAGTAGAATGCTCTCTCTTAATCTATTATGAGGAATGATTCCTTTCTTGGCTCAACTACTACTCCATGTGCTTCGTGATGCACCCAACACATGCCGTATCTACCCCAATTGGGGTGCAAGCGTTGGTAATGGTCAAAGTACATCACTCCTCACATGTAGTACGTATTGACCTCAAGTCGGAGGACTATAACACTACTTTATACACCGATAATCCCGTAGACACATGAATAGAACTTATCAAATGGTTTCTCGGTGGGTATGCCAACATTCTCTAAAATATCTATGTGACCATCATGAATTAAAGGAATTCGTAGTTGTGAGATCAACTATACGTTCTAAAAGTATGATGCAGTTCACATACCAATCTTATCGCATATCATTAATATCCCTTTCTTGATGATCATTGATCGGGCCATTTTAGCACCTTATGTTATATCATATAAGCTCTCACTTACTTATTGACAACATAAGGCCAAGGGGACACAATTATGAATAAGACATTGACAATCGAAATGCTTAATCATCAATGTGCAATACCGTATATATCAAATATATAAAACTGAATGTGATTAAGTACATATATCTCTAAAAAGTGATTGTCGCTAGGACACATATACTAACAATCTCCCACTTGGCCTAGTGACAATCACCGATGCGTCTAACACCCGGACTCTCAAAAAGCTAGTATGTTTCTCACATCTCAAAGGTTTGGTGAATGGGCCAGCCAAATTGTCCTGTTAGGGAATGTGTTCTATTGTAACTTCTCATCTTGCTATTTGTTATCAAAAATATGATAGCATACATGTATTTTCTAGTTCCTTACTTTGCATCTTGTTTCCTTAGCTTGTGCAAAAGCACTAGTATAATCACAATAACAATTATTGGATAACTATCACTAGAAACTACCCCTATTTCTTTGAGGAACTCATGTATCTAAATGCTTACCCATTTTGCATCAAATGCAACAATTTACTAGGCTCTAGTTGTCGAATTTATAGTAGTCTCTTACTTGCAACTCTTTCAGCACTACTATTACATTGAGACTAAAAACATATACTGACTGTGACTCGTAATCTCCCTTATCATACATGAAACTAGTGTTAGAATAATTAAATTCTACTAGTTCCTTCTATCCACAATAGACAAAAAGATATTCATGAAGATTTTGGGTAACCATTCTTTCACAGACTTCAATGAGGTGATATCATTCTCTATGATCAACATATATGATTATAAAGACCACGTTATCCCTGCTGCACACTCTAAACACACAAGCACCTTTACTTCTTCTGATGAAGTCAAATGATTTGACTACTTCATCAAAATTAATATTTCAACTCCTAGAGGCTTGAATTAGCCCATAAATAGATTTCTCCAATTAACACATTGATTTAGAATTTGACTTGGATATAAAACCTTCAGGTTGTACAATGTACACCTCCTCCTTGAGGTTCCCATTAAGGAAAGGGGTTTTGACATCCATTTGTCAAATCTCATAATCATAGTATGCAGCTATCACAAGCAAAATCCGAATGGACTTGAGTTCTGCAACTGACGAATAGGTATCACTATAGTCAATTCTTTCTCTTTGACTATAACCTTTAGCCACAAGCCCAGCTTTGTATGTATGCACCTTGCCTTCAGCATTAAATACTTGAAAATTGAACTCTCAAAACTAAAAAATTTAGATAAAAAACTTAAAGAATAAACACTAGGTTGTGGTGATGAAAAGTGGTGTATAGTAAACATTAGGTCGTGGGATATTTTATAAAAGTAACTTCCTGGAGTTTTGGATGAAACACGGAAGCAAGAAAGCAGCTCAGAAGTCTTCGTTTGTAGTCTGTACTGGAGCTTCAACTGAGACAACACCTCTTCGACTTGAATAACAGCGATATGCGAGGACCTAGGCGCTAGGCCTTTCGACTTGGTGATAAACGAGCGACACAAGTATTTTGTATTTTAGATTTTAGGATGAAAAAAATTTAAGACCCCCAATAATTAAAAAAAATTAAGCTAAAGTTGCTTTTAATTAGAGACGTACGCCTCGTTTAAGCCTTGCACCTACCGCCCAATTCTACGCATCAGGGGAAAAAGGTGTAAGGCTTGTTACGGGAATGTAAGGCTTAAGCCTTACGCGCGATTGAACATCGCCTTTGCGCTTCTGCATCTTAGGGGCGTAAAGGCTAAACGCCTTTTAAAACCATGAATTTAATAAAACTCACTGAAACTTCTCAGTTTCTTGCTAAGTTATTCACTTATTCATAATATGATCACATAATGTAGTTTCAAAAAGGTGTTCAACTGTTTTGTAGTGAAAGTTCATTAAAAAACTGATTTTGTAGTTGCGAGTATCAAACTATTAAGGAATTCTGTTGCCTACTAACTTGTTCTAAATCTCTGATTTGCATTTTGAACTGTTGAACTTCTGTTTACCGTTTATGTTATTTGGGATGATGATCTATTCTTGAACTTGTTAAGTTCGTTGCTTGTTGAGTAGTTTATTAGAAGTTCTCATTGCTTTATGATATTAAATCATTAATTGTGGAAGCTGGTTTTTATAATATACCATCAGTCTTGTAACTTTTTACTAGCATACAATGATAAGCATGAGTGAATTACTGACTTGAGGCAGAAAAATCCATGCTCCGTAGTCGTTGATTAGTCGCCGATTTGTCGGCCTAGGCGCTAGGCAACCCTCTGCCGCCCAAGTAGCACGAAGCGAGTTTTAGAACACTGGTAGCAGCTATTAAAATGTCCTGCAATATCTTCCCATTTTCTTCCATTGAAATAGAATGCAAGGTGTCATATCTTCTTGAAAACCGCTGCCTAAGTGAAGTTTTGTTATATAAAATCAAATCTTGCAAGCTATCCACTTATCCCGTGTGAAGAAGCTGTGCTATGTTACTTAGCTATGTAGTTTGTATAAACAGTAAGGTTTCTCTCTTTAATGTTGTGTTTATTGCTTTCTAACATTGATAATATGAACACCTTTAAATAACATTTTTATTATCTATTTCACATGAAACATTTTTTTTGGATGGAACCGACTATGTTATTCATTTGTGAAACTTGATATGTTTTTACTAATTTTTATACATGAAACCGACTATGTTATCTACTTTTTCTTTACTTGTATGTTTTACTAGTTTAAGGTTATAATTTAACATTTAGAGCCATTTCATTGCATTTTAGGTTAGGCTCTTTAAAGAATTTTACGTTAGACTAAATATTTAGAGCATTTTAGGTAAGGCTAAAATTTTAGGGCTGTTCAGTAAAAAAAATGATTTCGGGTACTTTTGGTTTCATGAGCAATGTGGTTAATATGCACAAACAATTCATTTTATAGTTGTTTTGTGTTGAATGCACTACAACTTCATAGTTAACATGGGTTGATTAACACACCTTTTTCGTATACAAATTGTGGTTGACAACTTGATGAGCAAAGTGAACCTAAAGTCCATTATCAGCTCAATCAGAGAATAGAGAAGTACATAGCGGTATGTGCTTTCTATGGGGGCACCCTGATGCTTACTATTTTTAAGGGAGCACCGTGATGCTTACTATTTTTGTGGGGGCACCCTGATGCTTAAATGTTGTGATGGGGGCACCCTAATGCTTAGCTTTTGTGATGGGGGCACCCTGATGCTTACTCTTTGTCATGGGGACACCCTATTATGATTTTTTATATTTGTTGCTCGTGTTTTATTTGAAAAATTGATTTATTACATTTTAGTTATAGTCACAATATATAGGTCAAGGTGAACTAGAGAAGACTGCCCCCTATACTCATACTAGTGGGGTCATATCTCATGCCAAAGTTGCTAGTGAAATTGTAAGTTTACTAAAACTATATGTTACACTAGTTATTAATTATCTCTATTGAAACATATATACCTTAATTATATATTTTAGTATAATATGTGATATAAATATATTTTATTTATATCAACATGTCCAATATTGTGATTCACATGATATTTATTGTTTGATTACTCTAACATTGTACGTTAACAATTACTACGTATTATTATGTAGGAAAAGAACTCCCAAACTAAAGTGACAAGTTATCAGGTTTTTGTGCATACACATACAAATTAAAGAATCACGATGGAGAGACTTTTATAAATGATCACGCTAAAGAAGCGAATGTAAACGTTTTTAAATTTTTATTATTTTTTTATAATTTGCTCTTATATTAAATCGATAAAATATTATAGGAGGAATTTGTTTCACGGTGTGAGGAGCTTATTGATATTGGCGAGGAAGTAGATGATGATGACCTGATCTATGATGTTGTTGGTGGTCCAGACTCAAAGAATATATTGTATGGAGTTGGCTCATATGGCACACAAAATATTCTTGGTAAAGCTTCAGAGTACTCTTCTGAAATGGACACTTCATCACCACAAATTTAGTAATTTACTAAATTGTCCTCACTCCTCACCAATTAATACGGTTACTAATATGATTAATATTGCCCATAGAAGTTTAACTTAATTACAGAATTACCATCACTCATTCATGTATCTTGATCATTGATGTTATATATTTGATGGTTGGATTTCACTTTCCTTTCTCTTTTGAGACACCATCATCTCCTCAATATAGATAGATAGAAATGAGAGAAATGAGAATTTTTGGTTGGATTTGACAATTGTACATTATGTGAAACAGAAATATGCACCGCAATGAGTCAGAATATGCGATGACATTTTTGTAAATAAATCAATTTTTTTGTGTCAATTTGAAATGTGTATTATTTTAACTGTAAATATGCACCTTCATGACTTGGAATGTGCATCATATTGGATCATGTTAATTTCTCACTAAAAGATTCGTTCTCATCGAAATTAGACCATATATAAGAATAGAAGAAGTATGTGTGGACTACTGGGTTTAATGTGGTAATAAAAGAGCACTTTGTTCCTATATTCCTTTCTTTAAAATAAAATCTTCATTCTTCAATTTTTTATGCAAAGAAAAATTTGGAGTAATATTTTTTAAACTGCTGTCCTCTTACATTAATCGGTGTTCACTTAACCTTCTCATCACAACAACCATTATCTATCTTTTCAAGATAAGAATTATCGGTATATTATATTATTATTGAAGCTTCAGTGCGTAATTGAGTTGGATCTTGGGTACATAAATTTGTAATATATCATGAAATAGTTTCCCCTTCCCCAACCGGGCAACCCTGCAATATTAACAAAAGTAAAACTTTTGAGAAAAAAATGTTACATGTCTCTATAAAAATATCAAAGTTAATTTTTGTCTAAAATTAAACATCGTGATCACCCGTCTCAATAAAAGTACTAACATAATCAATGTGTTTCGTAAAACATATTCTTAAAATGATGATATGTTTACTAATATCTTAAAACAATACTACATTCGTCTCATATTGGATGTCTTGTTTTTGTTTGACACAAATATTTATAAAATGATTGAAAAGTAAAAAATGTGGTTGAAATTTGAGAAGAATAAAGTGAAAATAATATGGAATATACATCTCTTGCCAAAATGGAAACATGATACTCCCCCGTCCCGAAATAATTGTCCTGCTTTCCTTTTCGATCCGTCTCGAAATAATTGTCTCCTTTCCTTATTTGGTAAACAAATCTATACAAAACAATGTCAAACAGTACAAAACAGTGTCAAACAGTGTCGCTACAGTGCCAAACAGTGTCGCTACAGTGTGAAGTCAACTTCACTTTTTTAATCTGTGTGAAAGTCAAACTAGAACGATTATTTCGGGACGGAGGTAGTATTTATTTTGAGATACCCTGAAAAGAAAAGTAAGACAATTAAAACGGCACGAATGCATAGAGGAAGTAGTTATTTTAATGGGGATATATATATATATATATATATATATATATATATATATATATATATATATATATATATATATATATATATAGGGAAGAGATCAAATAAAAAGAGGTTCTCCCGTGCAAAGTGCGAACAATTGCACTTTTTCTTCTCCGCGTTGCACTTTTGCGTGTTTCTGTTGCACTTTTTCGTGATGGCAAAAAACTTCGTTTTAATTACGGAATTGCCACCGCGTTTTTGATCAAATTTAGTTCACTTTTTGCTCATTTTGAGCCATTAGATCTCAAAATGAACGCACGAGATTAATTCTCACTTTGCATGGGAAGACCTCTTTGTATTTGAACCCTCCTCTCTCTCTCTATATATATATATATATATTATATAAGAATATTTGTATATGTTTGGTAATATTATCCAAATTCAAAAATCTATCCTAATTTTGTCGAAGAGAATGATACTAATATTATTTTCAAAAATACGCTTTGTACACGTTTTTACTGTTCACAAACAAAACATGTAAAAAGTGTTTTCACCATGTCTGTTACGAACAATTTCCCTATTATTTTCGTCATTACAAGTTGGTCTAAATAGAAGTGAGAAAATCTTATGGGCGTTTCTACCGCCTCCCTGAACCGGATATCCAGCAACAATCACGCTGATCTTACCTAACGAAACTCCCAAATTTGCCATTCTCTCTTTTCTTGCGCCTTCTGAGCTTCCAAGCTTCGTAATCTTCAACATACACAGGCGCACGCTATATAATTAGGAGGCTATACACGGAAGGGTTGTTTGGGTAGATTCAAGAAAGTGAAATTGATGACGACGCGTAATAGAGATCTAGAGAGAGCAACGAAGGGCGGAAACAGTACAAGTCTACAGGCAAGATGCGATTCATCAGCATATCATGCGGATACCTCGGAGAAGCAGTGGACATCGTGGCTTGTGTTTTGTATAGTGGTGGTCAATGTTGCTATGTTTATTGTCATCATGTTTGTGAATAATTGCCCGCAGAATGATGACAGGAAGCGATTTGGGGTGGTGAATGGGAAATGTGTTGCAATGTTTCTTGGGAGGTTCTCTTTTCAACCCCTTAGAGAAAACCCCCTTTTTGGGCCTTCTTCTTCTACGTAAGTTTCTCTTGCTGCTCCTGTCTTCTTCTTGACTAACTTCCTTTTTTTTCGTTTATATGTTCATTTCAAGATCCAATTATCAGGTACCTTGATGGCACTGATTTGATTATTTAGATATGAATTTTTGCTAGTTTTAGTCTATGCTCTTTACTCTTTAGCATTGGATTTTACATGTTCCAATGTGAAAATTTGGTGAGGGAGCAAGAAACGAAATTGGTACAGTTGATTAGCTAAATGGACATGACGCTAAAAGCACTATTCAGATTATCGGAGAAATTCAGCACTTAGAAGTCTAATTGTTTGACTAAAGTCAAATCCACCTGAAGTTTTGCTCTGGCTATTACTGTTTAACCAATCATTGTCCTTGGGATATGTAGATAATTTCAATTCACTGTGTTTAGAAAGACCAGAAAAGTGTTTCTTTGCTAATCTGTTATTGGATCTATTGGTACAATGCATTAAATATTGTTTTCTTTTAATAAAAGGTTAGCTTCGGTTATTGCTCAAATTATTGTTTGTTGCCCCCACTTTAGGAACATGATTTATACAGAGATGAAATTACTAAGTAGCTGCTCTTAAGAACTATCCCAGTTTCCTGAGGTAAGCATAAACTCTGCCCTATAGCACCTCAGGCTACTAGGAGTCTAGGACTTTATGTTATACTGAGTGGAGTAAGCATAATGAGCAGAGAATAGGGTTTGTATCTTTGTGTGTTCCTGGACAAGATTAATTGCTATTAATTTAGGGTGGTATTTGTGCAGACTGGACAAATTGGGTGCACTAGAGTGGGACAAGATAGTTAATGATCATCAAAGCTGGAGACTTATCACTTGTATATGGCTGCATGCAGGGGTTGTCCATTTGCTCGCTAACATGCTGAGCTTGGTTTTTATTGGGATTCGCCTTGAGCAGCAATTTGGATTTGGTACACGTTTGTCTTTAAAGTTTTAAATTTGTTTCATTTAAAAGAATACGGGAAAATGAGTCATCACCTTTATTCCTTTAAGGTTGTTTGGTTTGGGAATTTTGGAGGGAGTGAAAGGGGATCGGTGATCTTTACTTTTTAAATAATTTCTACATTTAGATGGTTGAAAATAAAGTGAGAAATATACGATATATAAATACATGATCTGCTAATCATATAGTTATTTTTAGATTGCACCAACAAATAGAAATAAATTTGTAATATAAAAACCAAACTCTCCTTTCTTTCCTTCCGGAATACGTGAATCAAACAAGCCCTTATACTCACTACAGCCAAAATCCCTCATTATATTGAGTCTATTGATGTTTTTTTTGAGGATTCAGCTACTTATAATGAAATTATGTTTGCATGTTATCATGTCTGGCTGCAATTCAAGAGTCCTACTGGCTCTTCTGCCAAATTTTATTACATTGGTAAAACTTGTAAAGAGGTTAATTGCTGGAGACTTTTGATGTTGATCTTCATTTTTGTAGGATTATTATGTTGATATATGTGCATAGACTTACCTTCTTTCGAAATTATTGTTTTCAGTGCGTGTAGGTATAATCTACCTGTTGTCAGGAATTGGTGGGAGTGTTATGTCTTGTCTTTTCATTCAACACAGCATTTCTGTTGGCGCTTCTGGTGCAGTCTTTGGACTTCTTGGAGCAATGCTGTCAGAGTTGCTTACTAACTGGACCATTTATGCTAATAAGGTATAAATCTAGTGCACCTGAACACATTTATTCTTCTGATATGTCAGATTTTGCTTCTGCATAAGCTTTTTATATATTTTCTCTTTAGCTTAATTTTCTTATTGTGAAAATTGGCAGTCTAATAGATTCCTTTTATTATAATCTGGCATAGACTTAATATGTTCTTTCATTTAGTGATAAGCAGGTATCAGGATGAGCTTTTTTCTTTATCTTACTTAAACGTTATTTTGGGAAGGCTGTATAACATAATTAAACCATCTCTTGGTAATTTAAATCTATGTAGATTTTTTTTTGCTTCATTTTACTAGAATCATTACGCCATCAGTAGTTTTTTCTCCATTTGCAGGCTGCTGCACTTTTTACTCTGGTTGTTATAATTGCAGTCAACTTAGCTGTTGGGATTCTTCCTCACGTTGATAACTATGCTCATATTGGAGGTTTCCTTAGTGGGTTTTTTCTTGGCTTTGTACTGCTACTCAGACCCCAGTTTGGTTGGCCTGAAAGGCTGGATCTTCCAGCTGAAGCCCGAATGAAGTCCAAGTTCAACATATACCAATATGTGCTCTTTGTGGTTGCCTTGATTTTATTGATTATTGGGTAAGCATTCATCCCACTATGAAAAGTCTTCCTCTTGCCGAGGGCGAGCTTGAGCCTGCTGGGGCTAGCCATTGTTGGAGAGGCTCATTTCAAGCCAGATTTTCCATTCTTAATTTAGGGATAATTCCATTATTAGGATTCAAGCATAACACGATATCAAATTGGACTATCATTGTTTTTTCATGAAAATAAAACTCATTTACTCCTAAAAAAGAATCAACTTTTTTATTTTTGTACTGAATGACTCCTATTTTTAGCAAAAAACAAGTATGAGTGTTTGACCCACGTTTTACTTCTATTTACTATAACTTCTTAATACCATTTTTTGAGCAATTGATTGATTCATTTCATTTTCATTTGATTGAGCAATTGATTGATTGTGAAGAATAAATTACTTCACATCTCAATTTTTCTAATAATGATTGAACATGATTCTATGTAAGATTAAGAGTACCAATTATGTTTTAATAATACCAATAGTATCCTTATTTCATTAGCTAACTTTTAGCTCTTCCTCAAATTCAAATACTGCACCAGATTTGTTGTGGGTTTGGTGATGCTATATAAAGGAGAGAATGCAAATGATCGATGCAAGTGGTGCCGTTATTTAAGCTGCGTGCCTACATCGAGATGGCAATGTGATCGTAACTAACACTGAGCTAGCCACGTTTCCGATTCTTTCCGCTCTGTCTCTGATTCTTTTGGTTTATCACATAGATCAACTTAAAAGTATACTGCTCATATGTATATGTTTATATTGCTTGTGTACATGTAGAGCCTGTGCAGACTTGAATGCCTGCTGCTCATGATGTGTATATTAAATACAATAAGGTTCTGTTTGTATCATCTATAGTGCACATGTACCGGGCTTTGTGAGAATAAAGAAGTTTCTGCGTTTGCTTCCATTTTTTTAGCAATAATTTGTTTTGAAGATTATATGAAAATATTTAATATTAAAAGATGACGGTATCTGGAAAGAAAAATATTTTTTTAAAAGTATAAATCTTTTTAAAGCACTCTTCCTGAGTTCCTGTTTGTAGCTTTTAGTTTTAAAGTGGTTAGTTTAAATTTAAGGATTTCTTTGAAGACGGTACACTTTTTTTAGCTTTTTGAAAGTTATAAGCCGAAAAACATTTTTTTAAGTGAAGGAATCACTCCTTCCTCAGTTCTGGACCTCCATTAGTGTTCTAAAGTCTAAACATTTCCGAAGCAAACCAGCTATTCAGTTGGCCCTCGACCAAAGCCAAAAGTGGCTATCCAATTGGCAATTTGAAATAAATAAATTATTCGTGTTATCGACAATTTTCTTTCTCCAAATTTCATCTGTATTACAAGTAATTTGACTCAAGAACCAAGCCAAACGGTCTATGTCATAGACAATTTAGGCATGTGCAAACAGAGTATTCCATTTTCTTGATCCTCAAGTCTAATAATGTAAATATATTTTTATGATTAACATCAATTTCATTTTACGTATATCTCAAGTCATAAATATATCTTTAATCCGTTAGAGCCAACAAAGTGAATATTCCAAATTAAGATTTTATGTTACTTGTATTTGGGTGCATCACATATACAAAACGTGTCGCATTGATATTTAATTAGTTTGAGAATGTTACTCATTACTTATTAGATACATATTACTTTGCTAACGCAATGATTTTTGTTCACATGAAAAACTGAGAATCTAGATTGCACCGAATCAATTCATTTCAAACGGGGCTAATAAGGTCTGATTCATATTTCGAAACTTGGTATACATGAAATCGGCTATTCTTGAATTTATCATTTACCAAGACTGGTTCTGCTTCTTAAATTGATTATGCTCATCCAAGGAGTAGAAGCATATATGTGAGTGCTTGGGTAAAAGTGTAGAAGTGCTTCTGGGTGCTCAAAATTGCTCCTAAAAGCGGGTTTTAGAAGTCGAGAGAGATTAGTTTCAGGAAAACTAATTTTGATTCTACTTTTATTTTTCAAAAAGAAGTAGAATTCAAACAATCTTAGTCAGACCATGTCCACCCCGACCATTGAATTGATTCTTAGGATGTTTTTACTTGAGTTAAAATTTTCTAGTCTGATCTGGTTTGATATGATTTGATAAATATCTGGTCTATATGTATTTTATGGTCAAACATCCTACAAGAATATATAAAAATTATAGGAACACGTTTGGCAACACTGAAATTAGCTAAATTGGCTGATTTTCCTGAAATTTATGAAGTTTTGACTGAATTGGCTGTATTGGTTGATTCTGCTGATTTATAAAAAATTATATTTAAAATATTTGTTATTAATAAATAAAATAAAAATGATATTAAAAAGTAGTTAAAAATTTTACTCTAAATTATAAAGCCATACAAAAACTGACCGAGTCTCACAAGCTAAAAAAATGGACCACCAAACTGTCTCTAGATTAATAAACCGGAGGGAGCTTGTATGAACTACTTACAAGGATTGAATTTGTAGAGAGTGCAATGATGAAGATGATCGGCCATGATCACAATGAAGATGGACAGGACAATTTTCGTCCCGACCGTTATGGAAGGTGAAGTTTCACAGTAAGGAACTCAATGAGGAGCCTTTTCTTCGACTCCATGAATCCTTCACGACCACCTCTATCTCAATATCTCTTAAAACCACCATCGACTTTCAGGAAGAAACTCAATGACTGCTTTGCGTCATTATTCGAACTCTCCCCAACCCACTCCCTCTCTGCGTCTAAAAAAGCAAAATTTACTCGCGCATCTTCATCCCTCGCCCAATTCGCCTCCTATTTCTCACAAGTAAGACGATTTTCAAGCTCTCCAAATGGATCTTCCACAACCGGCGATCCCAATCGGATTGTTTCGTCTGATAACTCATCAGACTCCCCTAACACTCCCATTGATGCGGGTTCTTCAATTCGAAAGCCTACCAGTTTTTGGCCTGGAGTGTACCATTCACCTGTGACTAACGCCCTATGGGAAGCAAGATCGAGTACTTTTGAGAAGCTTTCTCATGCCACCTCTGATGCCCCTCCCCAGAGTGAACTTATCACCAAGAATCCTAGAATTAGCCGGACTAGTGTGTTCTACCCGTTCTCCACCGATTATGATCTGAGGGAACAGTATAGGAACCCTTGGAATATGATAAGGATGGGAAGGCTAGTTGAAGACCTTGATGCTTTGGCAGGAACAATATCTTACAAGGTAAGAGTATGAGCCAATTGGACAGCTTAATGTTGGATTTCTATAAAATGTGCTACTCTGTTTCAGGTTGGTCATTAGTTCTAACATCTGGATTGTGGATTCTCTTTCAATACTTTTATTGTTTTTCGGATTTTGGTTTTCCCTTCATCTTGGTTGCTATGTTGTCTGGCATCGTGAAGATTTTGCCATCAAAATATTACATTATTTCAACTATTCATTACATTTTCATTGTCTGTGGTAGTTAGGAAGTTTTCATTCTGTGCCACACCTAGATTTACTTGGGAGTGGGACATAGGTTGTGGGGTGGGTCGGGTTCGAAGTAAGCTTGTAGTAGTTGGAAGTTGGAACTTACCAAGATACACTTATATTGTAGTGTTGTATTCAAGGCGGATCCAGAAATATGAGTTCAGCTGGGCTGAAGAGCAATTATACTACGCTTTAACATTATCGGGACAGGCTAAGTATGAGAAATGAAAAAATTTACACTACAAAATTGGAAAAAATTAACATTGTCGTACATCCTTCTCTGGCTTTATTTTCTTATTCGAGCATGGTTTGTCCATATTGCTATAATCTATACCTCAAATGGTTCAGAAAGCCCTATTTCAACATTCTAATTCCTTTCTATGCAATCCAGCACTGCTCAGATGATGATAGCACAACTAGGCCATTATTATTAGTTACTGCTTCTGTTGACAAGATGGTTTTGAAGAAACCGATTCGCATTGATTTGGATTTGAATATTGAGGGGGCTGTTACATGGGTTGGGCGATCATCCATGGAGATACAATTGAAGGTGACCCAAAACTCACCAGGTATGTTTCATAAGATCATGGTGATGTACATTTATACATGTGAGCAAATACTTCATTTCCAAACATCTATTCCCCTTCCTCTGTAATATATTACCGGTAGTCCGGTACTCTGACATAGTTGTGTGCAAGAATGGAATGAAAATATCGGTATCATTAGACACATCGGTACTTTATTGTTATATATCAATCAATATATGTAGTATGAATGTATGATATTGTTTCGATGAAAAACACAAAAAAATGTGGAAGATTTAAAATTTAAACTTTAAGTTTTATTTTTTAAACTTAAGTTTTAAATGTGATAATTGTTGATACAATGACATCTCAAGTACAAATATATTATTGTAAAGTATTTATATTACAACAATTCTACAACGACATAATAGCATTCATAGTTACTTGATAAAATATTATTGATTATGTTGTATTTTCTCATTTGTGATACTAATAATCAATCTTGGTATAAAATTCAACACTTATTAATATTTGATCTCTTTTTTAAAAATGTATTGATGATAATTATGAAATATGCTAATATCACGGACTAAATTGTCTCCATATTCATGCAATATTTTTTATATTTCCGCAATATATCCAATTATTTTTATAACTCCATCAATATTAATCTTAATTCTCGATATCTTAAGTACTTTGAACGTTTCAATCAATATCAATAACAGCCGTCAGTATTTCTGCATTTAAGTCCCAATATTTACTGTTTTCTAGTCTAGCTAAAATAGACAAACGAGAATATCGGTTTACCCTCTCAGTCGATATTGGTCATGTTGAAAAGTGGAAATATTGGAGAAACACCGGTTAGTATCTGAATTTTTTTTCATCCTTTCTTGTATGTGACTGCATCAGACTATGTGATCCTAGTCCTAGACTTCACACCTAAACTGATACATTGTTGTTGCTTGAAATAGATCATCTGTTTTATGCCATTTCAATAGAAAGGAATGTTCTTATTGACATCCTAGTGCCTGTGGTCTATGGATGAGTTGGTTCGTTACTGCCGTAAATACAAAGTTTCTCGCTGAATTAAAATAGGAGTACATTCTCATTATCAACGTAAAAAATGCCCCTTTTGTGATTTAACTCATTTGTGTATTTAAGGGCTACTCCATATAATATTCTCCTGAGTAGAAGTGTAGAACAGCACCTCCTGTTGTATTTTAAACTGTTCAACAGTACAAAGTAAGTTTACATTAAATCATCACAAGAAGCAACCTACATGATTCTCCAGACCCAATGCATCCATAAATCATTATTTTCACCTGAATCATAAGTTCCCAAGTGTGCAGGGTCAGTGGCGTGTGATTTACAGGAATTGGTTTTCTAATTTCTAAAATTAGTTTACACTATTAAGTATTTTAAGTTCATGCAAAATGCTTATTGACAAAGTTATACCAGAAGTTCTCATTTCCCTGACCTACTTAGAAAGGAACAACGAGACGAAATTCTTTTACCTATAGTCATTTCTTATTACAAGGTCGGTATTGTAAAATTAACCTGTACATCATGAAACATGACCATTCAAGAACCCAATGCATTATTTAAGGAATGAAGAAAGAACTTTTGGGAAGTATTTATACTTTATAGTTTCTGAACTTTCTGCAAAGAAATCTCAGCACAAGAAGTAAATGACTACAACATAAATTCAAGTTTATGTGGCTTTGATCCATGTAAATGACTGCAACATAAAATTTATTTTATACAAACATAAGTTTTTACTTTGAACTTTGATCTAGTGGTTAAGAATTCAGTATATTTGAAACACAGCGTACTGCCTTCAAAACATTAGAATCACGATCTACTCATTAGTTCTGATTTCTAAGTTCTAGACGTCTAGCTAATGCTATTTCTCACAGACACTTCAGACTCTTTGGCTTTAACTGCAAACTTCACATTTG